GTTCAGCATCACTGGCCATTTGAGATATGCAAATTTAAACAACATTGAGATTCCATCTCATCCCAGAAAGTGGCTAACATCAAGAAATCAACCAGTGACAAATGCTGTCAAGGCTGTGGGAGAAAAAGAAGCCCTTGTCCACTGTTTGTTGCAGTGCAGACTGGTACAACCACTGTGAGAATCAGTGTGGAGATTCTTCAAAAAACTAAGATTAGAGGTTCCATTAAACCTAACTATTCCCCTTCTTGGTATCTTCCCAGAAGAATTAAAAACATACCACAGTGATATATGTGCACCCACATTTATAGCAGCACAATTTGTCATAGCTAAATCTTGGAAACAACCCAAATGCCCTTTAATCAAAGAATGGACTATGTCTTTTTTATACAATGGACTACTACTCAGCTATAAAGAAGGATAAACTTGAGATTTTTGTAGGTAGATGGATGCAACTTGACACCGTACTCATAAGTGAAATAAATCAGTCTTGCATGTGTAAATATTATATAGTCTCACTAATGTAAGAAGCTGAAAAGGTAAATAAGATAAAAATGTACAACAGATATTGGGAAATGGGAAGAAACTATTTAAAAGAAAAGAGAAACTCGGAGGAGAGAATGGAGAAAAGAAGGGAAAAGGAAAAGTGAATATATAGGTGTATGTGTGTGTATATATACAAGTTAGTTAAGATAACCATTCTAATAATTTGTATTAGTTCATTGAAAAGAAAGGTTCGTGCTTACATGGTTTGATCAGTTTTTCATGCCTACATCTTATAATCTGAGCAACTTCTTTAAAGATAACAATAAGCAATGTACTAACCATTGTTACTCTCCTACTACTTTGTTTTGAAATTTTGTATCATTGTTTTATTATTTTTTTCTTTAAATTACAAAAGAGAATAAAATATGTGTGTGCTGAATCCTTCTGGTCTGGTAAAGTAGAGAGGGAAAGTGAGGGAATGCTCAGGCACGCCTGGAGGTTTCCGGAGAACATGAGTAGGATATGAGCTCACGCTCATCTGGGCCACTTCTGATTTGGAGAGAGGCTGGTGTAACTCCCAGGGTGAGGATGGCAATTCTCTTTTCCTTGGGTTAAGATCAGCGTCTTCTAGGAAAGAGCCTTATGCACTGTTTTTGATGTCTTTGATCGCAAAGAACACTATGGCCAAGTTGAGCTTGCTTCAGCAGTAAGGAAAATGTTTCTTTCCTCTTGCAACAAGGCAAGAGGTAATGTGCCTGTGGAGCTGGCAAAGCAGAAGCTCCATGTCATGGACAAGGCCCATGCTCTGTCCATCTGTCCCTTCCCTTGCCACAAGGCAGCTTCAATGGGTTCAGATGCCACATGCAACAGACCATATGATGGGAGGAACACCTTGCACAACCTCCTGACAACCGGCATGCTTCCCTCTCACATGAACCATATCCCCTGCCAATACTACCATCCTGGTGCCTTCACATTCATTCTGTAAAGGGCCAGAATGGCAAAAACTTTTAAGTTTATACATTTGGTCACAATAACTCACCTCTGCCATTGAAACAGAAAAGCAGTTGTAAGTAATGTGCTAAGAAACAAGTCTGGTTGCATTCCAATAAAACTTTATTTAGATAAACAATTGCTGGCTCAGTCTTGCCCATGGACTGACCCCTTCTCACCCTTGCTCGATACCAGCTATCTCCAAGCACAGGCAAAGAGATCATGGGAAATCTATTAATTTATAACAATGATTTTAGGGTCCTCTTTCATCTGTCGGCATCTAACAAAGATATTCAAGGGGTTCTAATTCATAACACTGGGCACAAACTTTCCCAATAGGCAAGTGAGGACAGAACGCAGCAAAGCTGGGGCACCAAAATAAAAGAGAATAAATTTCCAAAGAATTTCTCACTTCCTAATGTGCAACAAAGTAGGTGCTAAGACTCAGACTTTGATTCCATCTGGCTCAACTTACTTTACAAATTTAACATTTAAGAAAACATTTAATGATGTTGAAGGACAAGGATAATGCCTGTGACTATATAAATTCTGCTGCTAATGCTCTAGAAACTGTTCTCATAGGTCTTTTTTGTTTCCCCTAAATTGAGAATCAGGCTTGAAAAACCTTAGCAGTCAGTTCAGACTTCAGATTGTATATGTGTGGGATGGAGGTCAGACAAGGCAAGTGACTTTCCCTAGACCACAGACACTCAGCGGCAGAAGCAAAACCTACCCTTGTGTTGTGCATAGCAGCGCTCAGAGGATGTGCAGTGCCTCTGAAGAGGACGGGTGTGCAGCTTCCTGTAGGAACAGTGTGGCCCTCATACTTGGGGGTCTCTCTGCAGGGAATGCACCCTATCCTATGTGCACTGTTGAAGTCAGTAGTCCTGTGACTGGTTTTGCCACAAGATGTGGGTGACAATGGCCCATGTCACTTCTAATTGCCAAGTATGTATGCCTTCTGCCACAGACTGGTGATGTGTAGGACAGAGACCTCTGTATCCTTCTGGCTCACAAGGTGACAGGGACAGCACAGCTTGGCTGGTCCCTGATAGACAGTCACAGTCACATGAACCCAAGACAAGCCCCGGGGCCTGGGGTTGTTTGTTACTGCAGCATGGCTGGGTCTATCCTAATCTACTCAGGTTTCACGACCCAGCTCACTAAGCTCTTGCTCATCTGTGAATCTTGAGTTTCCAGCAATACTGCATGGAATTTTTAGAGCATGGATTTACAGTCAGCCTGCCTGAGTTTAAACCTCACAAGTAGGGAGATCTTGACAAAGTTATTTTCCCAGCTTCTCGGCTTCTCCACAAGCGATCAAAAGATGACTCTGGTTATGTTTAGTCTGTTTTGGTTGCTACGACAAAACACCTTAGACAAAGTAATTCATAAACCACGAGAATGTATTACTGGAAGATAGAATGTAGTACTTGGTGAAGGTGCCTCTGTGCCCTCCCAGAGTGAAAAAACAAAGTGTCTTTCTGTCTTGGTTACTTTTCTCTCGTTGCTGGGACAAAATACCTGATGCCCAAAATTAAGGAAGGAAAGGTTTATTTCCCTTACATTTTGTGGAGGTTTCAGTCCTTACTTGGCAGATTACAAGGCAGATTGGCACATGGCAGAGGGCTACAGCTCCTGGTGCAGAACACAGCAAAGCAACAACCACACACCAGTGCGGAATGGGTGAGGAATGGCCTCAAGCACTCTCTTCCTCTCCCTTACATATGTAAACTATCTACCCCAGGGGTGCAGCTCTTACACCTCAATCAACTCTAAAAGCCTGCCCTATGGCCGCATGAGGCTTTGAGGGGACACACAGACAAACCATAACACATTCCTAAGGACCTTAATCCCACTCATGAGCTCTGCCTTCATGACTTCATCCACTCCCTAAGGACCTAGCTCCTAGTACTATGGTGCTACTGGTTATATTTCAACACATGCAGGACTCAAACCTCCAGACCATGGTTGGTCCCTGTCCCACAAGAATGTGTGCAGACTCAGTGAACTAAGCCTGTGTTTTGAAGCATGCTAGCTAATTGTTGGTGACTACTCTTGCTGATGTTACCGAGACAGGGAGTGGTGGGGTGCTGTGCATGCATGATGTGTGGGGCCCCCAGGACTGCCATGTTCCACATTCTCCAGAACCTGCTCTCCTCTGTGTGTGACACCAACAACCATCACTGCCCAAGTAAAAAGGTCAGCAGGACCCCTACAGCATAACTGGTTAGGGTGTAAATCCTCTCTCTGTCTCTTCTTTCCTATGAAACTATAGGTGGGCTCCTCAGTGAACCTCAGCTTCCATCTCATGGAGTGAGGCGAGGAATCAGTGGAATGATTCTCAAAGAAATGCTTCTCACGGTGTCTGGTACACCACAAGGGCCCAGCGACATCAAGACAAACAACAGTACTCCTTCTGCCAAGACCGTCCAGGGAGAAAGGGCAGAAAGGAGATGATCCATCCCTTAGGCAGCCGAGGGAGTGACTGGATGGGGTCTTTATGGCCCACCTTGTCCTCAGGGAAACACCACTTTGACTTATGGTCCACCTGGTGCCAAGTAGGAGAAGACTGAGCAGCCCCTGCCCCAGCCCCACCACACAGCTGCCAGGGATCACATAGCTGGCAGGGGGTGCCAGGTCTGGTGTCACATCAGGAAAGTTGCTGGCTATGCAACTCGTCTACTCTTGGCTGCTGCAGAGCCTGTAGCTGTGGGTTTGATGACCTCCTATCGGTGTCACACATGCCGGGGGAAAGTGCTGACCACATAAATGCATGCTGTATCCCTTCGAGGGGTCCACACTTGTCATGGAGCTTCCTAGGAAAGGTGTTCCTTTACTCACATCCTTCTGAGAGCGCAGCCACCTGAGCTGGGGCTATAACACACTCGCCAGCCAGGAGCTCCACTTGGGGCCAGAGCAAGATCTCTCCCATGGTCGGTGGACAGCTGCCCACCCGAGGCTGGCTAGGGGGGAGCTGCAGAACCATCGTTGGAGGTAAAGCCTAAAACCCAGCCCTGGAGATGCTGGCTGGGGGGGCTCACCAGGGCTGCCACGTGCTGCCCAAAAACTCCCGGCACGCCAAGTGCTGACTTCTTGCTTTTGCTGGGATAGGTGGAGTGTGTGACTAAGACTCAGAGGGGACTGGAGTGGAGGGCACTGAGAAGAAGCTCTGCCCCCGACACCAGGTTGGAATGCAAGCACAGGACACCTCCCAGGCATCAAAGAGGAACGAGAACCAGACAGAACTGTGGTGCCCCACGCCCACCACTGCAAACACTGCACAGGAGCCCCACATACTGTGTGTTCCGCTTTGTGATTCATGAGTTAGCAGCTTTCACTTCTGGGTTATTGGGAGCACGCCTTTTTGCATGTTCCTGGAGGTTGGAAAGACCTATGTGGTGAAGGATTTTGTAGTTTTATTAATGCATCAAGGGAGAAGGCAATGAGCATCTCTGAGAAGAAGGAGTAGCGCAGAAATAGGATTATCTTCAGTCAAATAATTTCAAGGCAGCATTTCAGGGTAGCTTAATTTCCTGTTGCACTTTAATGACCAACAAAGAAGATATCAAAATGTTATTTATAGAGAAACTCCAGCATTTTGTTTTCCTGGTTATTTTAATAGATCAACAGAAACATACAATATGATTTTTTAAAAAATTTTTTTCAAACACTATAATCAGTCTTTCATGCTACAGATCTGTGTAGCCAGTCATTGCTTGTCATGCCGTCAAGACAGAAGTGAAGGGAAGTTAACAGAAAGAAAGCTCTGCTCTTTCTCCTGACATCAAGGCCAGAGCACCTGGCTAACTCCGTCCCAGGCATCTTCCCATCCTTTGCTTTGACTTCTTTCCAAGAGAAGGTGACAACGTTTCCATGTCAGGGTTGAGGTGCTATTGGAGGGGACACGGAGAGTCTTTGGCTTCTAGGAGGTGCGGGCGGTTTTTTAATATTAGGCTCTGCTCACCCCTAGAGCCCAACAGAGCCCGCAAGGCAGGGGGTGCCCAGCCTCACCCCCAGCTCAGCCTGCTCCATGGAGATGGTGGCCAGACTGCTGCTGAGATTGCGGCCTCCCCTTGTATAGTCATCTCCCCTCACCCTCCTGCCCGCCCTTCCCCTTCTCTGCTTCCTCCTCCTCCTTCTGCTATTCCTCCTCTCTTCAAGCGGCCGCAGGGACCTTTACAATCCAGCTTCTGCTGCTAGTAACATCGCGAAGGCAGAATCGGGGTTCTCTGCAAGGAGTTCAGGCTTGTCAAACTCAATCACCTGAAAGTCAGGAAAGAAGAATGGAAATTGCGGAACGACCCACGCACACCATGCAGCCCCCAGCTCCGCCGCCCTGGCCGCACCTTCCCACTATCCAGGACCAGCACGCGGTCACAGTTGAGAACCGTGTTCAGCCGGTGGGCAATGGCCAGCACCGTGCAGCCCCGGAAGGCATCCTTGAGGGCACTCTGGACAAGGGCATCCGTCTTGGAGTCCATGGAGGCTGTGGCTTCATCCAGGAGAATGATCTGTAGAGAGGAAAGCGGTGAAAGCCACACTAAGCCGAGGTAGCAACTAGGGGGCATTTATAGTCTCGACCCTGCTTCTTAAGTAGCAGAAAAGCTGAAAGGAAAAATAATGAGTCAAGCCACCCCTCTTAAAGAGTTAAAGAAGAATGAAAGAAAAGGCAAATCACACTACCTCCACCTTCCTCAGAGGGCTTGCTGGAAGAAGCAAGTCACAGGCTTGCTCTTGCTTCTCAAGTGATTTATTCTAACCATGCAAACAGGTGGGAAGGAATGCTGCATGGGCTTGCCATGCTAGGATGAGCCAGTGTGTGGTATAGAAGCAGCGCTCAGCTCATCTGCTACTGCTGAGGTAACAGGTATATCACTCTACAGTTCTAGAAGATGAACATCCTAACATCAGGATGCCAGGGCTGCACCACCACTGCCTGCCTTTTTGAGCATGGAGAGGCTGCCTGCAGTCCTCATCCCTTCCCAGCATCAAGAGATGTCCCTCCTGCCAGTTTCTTACACGGACACACAAGGATCCACAAGGCCCACCAGGACCCCGCATAACCCCCATATCTCCAGATTCTTAACTTCATCATCTCTGCCAAATTCCTTTTGCCACACAGAGGAACAGATCCAGATTCCGACTATCATGGTACGAACATACTGGGAGGGACAGCATCAATCTACCCAGGACAGCACTGATTTGATCATCCCAGTGAAAGAGCTTAAACTCAACCCCTAACTCTGCTTGACTTTGGCCAAGATCCATAACTTCCCCAAGGCTGTGTTCTCCCACGTGAAAGCGGGTTGTGCCTTGGATTATGCCTAGGAGAGACGTGATAGGAAGACACTCACAACCACTCAGCCCTGCCCAGGGCCACAGGAGGCACCCAATGCATACTGGTTCCTTTCTCCTGCCATGGACAGAGTAGGTTACACTTTGGACGAGGACTCAGAAAAACAAGATCACTAACACAACACATTCTCTTCCTCTAACCCGGTTCATGAGGCAGTCTCAGCTGGCCAGATCTTCCACGCTCGCCTTCTGACGGCCTACTGCGGTATCCTGGCTGCTGTTTCCGAAAACTCGGGATTGTTGAGGGACAAAGGGAAAAAGCTGAGAGGCTGAGTTCTCAAACTCACAGTCCCAAGGAGAGCAGAGAGAATACCTAAGCAAGACCTCCCAGGGCCAAGCCCAGGGGAGGAAGGGAGTATTGCTGTAAATGGCTGTTATTTTTCAATTTTTACCCTTTACAACTTTGTCTTGAGAAAAAGGGATCGGTTTTTAAATGACTCAATTGCTCTGTCTCTGCTGAAAGACAAATGCATGCTTCTGCCCCCTGGGCTGAGCAGCACTGCGGGGAATATCCAAAATTTGACCAATCCATTTCCTGTGCTGTTTCCTTACTTTTGAATTACGGAGAAGTGCTCGGGCCATACAAAGCAGCTGACGTTCTCCTACTGAGAAGTTTTCCCCATTTTCTGTGACTTCTGCCTGTAATTTTTCCGGGAGTTTCATTATCTATAAAACATAGAAAATGCCACATTTATGCTGATGATCTATAAAATTGTCCTGCATTGTCTATATTGATTGCCCCCTTCTCTTGCATTCATCAACTTGCTTTATTTTACTGTGGAAAAGAAAGTGTGAAACAACAATCATTTCAATATTGCAAACAGGAACCAGGGAAAGACCAGGGAGTGGGCGGACATTAATAATTTAAAATCACAGTATGACTCATAGAACCCTGTAGACAGCTCAGCAAAAGAGGACAAACGATGCCTGCACTGTTCCAGAGAACACACAAATAAGTAGGAATGGCTTTCAGGGTTCCTATTTCCATGGACAAAATAGAAGCAAGCTGGGAGAGCTTTCTGGGAGGGCAAAGCAAGCCAGAGTGGCTTTGGGAGGCACTGGCCTTCGCTCTTGGAACTACAGAGGTAGCCCTGCATACTTGCTGTCCTCAGCTGAGACTGCAGGTCTTACAGCAAAGGACCCAGTGTTACAGATGGCTCAGTCCCCTCAAACCAGCCACACCTGCCACTTCCAGAACATGCACAGCCTCTGGTCCTTCTGTGGCTCATCTGTTCTGATAAGTAAAGGCCACCTGCAGAGTACAAGGGGCGCTTCCCGGGCTCTGGAATCAGAGGCATCTGGGTTCAATTCTGCATTCTGCCGGCCTGAACACATTACGATTCTTGAACTTTAATTTCTGCACCTCTAAGATGAAGGGTAGAGGTATCAACCCCAAAGTTGTCATGAGAACCACATGAGAAAATGCACAGAGAGCTCCTAACTGGGTCATTGTGGAGTCTGAATAAATAGGACCAGTAGTTGCTTTTTATAATAAAGAGCAAAGTAAGGACTATGTGTTACTAATATATATTACTGATGCATGCAGTATCTATAAATAAACCTGGCTATGTGCTGGGCCAGGTATCTGGGCCACTGTGCTGGGAAAAGGACGTGCTCTGAACAGCCCCAGAGACCTACTGTGTCTCTCATGAACGTCCTCTCCAGAACCTGCCAGAGCGTCTCGTCAGTGTGAGTCCCAAAGGGATCCAAGTTGTACCTGCAGCGAAGGAAAGGAGAGAGAGCTGGACTTCTGGGATGAGGCTGTGGGGGTGGGGGGGTTCCAGGCCAGGGAATACAGGCGGCTTCCGGTAAATGGAGAAAGCAGGACTACGGTTTCCCCCTGCAGCCCATAGAGGAGAAGAGGACCACGAGAGGAGCCTGTGCTATGAGAGAGTCGTGCTCAGCCCAGGCCAAGAGACCAAAGATGCACACCTCGAGGATGGAACAAAGAGCACTGAGGCAGGCAGGGAAACAGGAGACCCCATGCAGAGGTGACACCAAGGTGGGAGCTCAGGAAGACACCCAGACCTCCCCAGGGCCCCTCGCTGGACCAGCTGAGAAGCTGTGGGTCCCTTGTGCTTTGACGTCAGATCTTATACCCATAAAACTGCTTCTGTATGGTTCTTAGGAGTGAGGTAGCACACTTGGCGAGCTGGCTGCAGACGCAGGGGAACCACCTATTCCACTGTGCCAGCACTGAGGCATAAAATAGAACTCTACAGGGCCAGCCAGGAGGTCTGCATACTCTGCATGTAAATGCATATTGCTTATTAGCAATGTGATTTCTGAAATACCATTAAGGCGCAAGACCCAGTTACCTGGTTCCTCCCAAGGCTTCAATCAAACACAGACATCAGCAGCACTTTGGAGCCCGTAGGGACCCTGTGTCCCTGAGACAGGACAGCTCCGGCTGAGCCACATCTCAGGACTTGGGCCCTGGTCTGATTTCACTATCCAAAAATAAGAATGCATGATGATCAAAAACAGCTACCTTACTGTACCTACAAACAGGACAGGATCCTGGGGGATCACAGTGAGCTTGGTTCGGAGGTCTTCCAGACTGATGGTGCAGATATCCACCTCGTCGATGAAGATCGTGCCGCTGGCCGGCTCCGCCAGGCGGAACAAGGCCATTCCCAGCGATGACTTCCCTGGGAACAGTGAAAATAGGAATAACAAATCAAACATCCGTTGGTACTGCCATCATATCCAAGTATTTAATTAAGGGAATTTTTAGTGCAATGAAATGGCTCTGTGTGGATGTCTGTGCTAGCAATTTCCTCACTCAGGGGCCCTGGGCTGCCCTGCCACACTTAACCTGCCTGTCCCTGAGGGGGCCTTTAACACACAACTCGTCCTCTGGGCCTCATCTCACCAGAAGGGTTCTCAATTAATTAATTCAAAAACTCACGCACATTTGCTTCCAACTCTACACACCCATTCAACCTGAAATCCTAATTTACAGTAAAGAGATTTGAAGGAAAATAACAGTCAAACCAGCGCACACATGTATCACTCTCTGGTGTGGCGTAACCAGCACATTCTTTGGAAACTCAAGGCAAACAACCCGCAGGAAAGAAAAGCAGAGCTGTTCTCACCGGAACCCGTCCGTCCGACAATCCCCACAGTCTGCCCACTCTCTATGTGTAAAGTCAGCCCGTTGAGCACGAGTGGGGTGTTGTCTCTGTATCTCATGTGATAGTCCTGGAAGGTTATGTCCCCACGGCTAGGCCAGTCCTGGGGACAGGTCTCCACTTTGAGGGGACGAGTGTATTCAGAAACGCAGGTCTGGAAAGGACAGAAACCAATGATGGGTTAATAGCCATTGTTTTTTTCATTTATCTAACTCATGCATTCGCGCAGATCTAGGCACTGGGGTTCAGGGTGGTGAATCAGACTAATCAGAACCCTCCACCCAAGAAACTCACTTTCCAGTGGGGATATCAGATAATAAACCAGAACAAATTAGAAGTGCAGCTGACAAAACAGTAGTGTGTGTGACAGAGTACAGACTGACTTGCACGGTGGGCAGGCCAGGGGAGTCACAGTTTTGAGGGCTGAAGAAGGTATCTGCGAACAGGTGCATTGGACTGGAGACTTGGAACGCTGAGATGACAGCTACAGGAGGACTGGAATGCAGAACCATCCCAATACAGCAGACAGCAAGTGCAAAGGCCCTTGGCAACTTAAGAAATACAAAGTCGGGCCCTGGAGCTTGGTGAACAGAGGGTGAACAGCATTGGCCAATAAGCAAGGGATGGCTCACACCAAGCCTTGCAGGCCCATGCAAAAGTCAGCAGCATGATCTCACAGCTGTTTGACAAATCCAGACTGAGCCTTGGGATTTGCAGAATTCGATCAAATGTCATTTTAGTATCTGTAAGAGTCACATGGTGCTACAAGTAGGAAGATGACAAGAAAGTTCAGAAGTCTTCAGTGTTAAATGGAAAAGACATTTAAGTTTCCTTCCTAGGAGTCCAACAAGCTCCAAGTCTAATTAAGAAGTAGAGCATCTTGGCTTCATTACAAGACCAGCCACTCCTCTTCCATTATGAAGTCCCCATTAACAAGGAGAAATAGGGATCCCAGGTGCCCTGTCAAAGTGACCATCCAGCCCAAATCTCTGGTCAATAAGCAACCCCAATTAGCTGAAAAAAATAAGTCCATTTTCAGAGAGTATTTTAACTCCTAGAAGACGTACAATTAAAAACACAAAAAATAATTTAAGAGAAACAATACTGTAACAGCAGTATTTTTAGTTTAAAGGATCTGCATACTTTGTGCTTTAAATATAATATTGATAGAACTTGGGCCTGTGGTTCAGATTTAAAATATATAATTGAATCATTGATGTAAACGTGATTTTAAGTTAAGAGCTTGTGGTTTATACTGTATATAGCATTGGAACTACCATGAGAATCTAAAGCTCACTATATTTACAAGTTAAATTTATTAGATTTATACAAACTCAAGAAGGTTTGTTTGCTAAATCAAATCATTGAGGTACTTAAAAAGGAAATTGAATAGATTAAATATTAAAATGCAGTTTAAAATGTTTTAAAGTATCTAATTACATTTGTAAGTGGGCCAGACACTATTCAAAGACCCTTAAAAGTGGCTGCTAGGATTGGTTAGACTTCTTTCCAAAATTGAACAGAAAAGCTTTCGAAGAAGAGTTAAATCATTTTCATTTTTTTCAGTTAATAGCTTCAATCAAATATTAAATTTCAGGAGCCCAAGCAAATCACCAGACTGTCTTTACGGCATATGGAAACTGCCTGCTGATCAGGAATTTTATTTTGTTTGGAAAAACAAAAAGAACCTTACACTCAGCATCAGGGACTTCAGATTGTATTAAAAATATGAGTTTTAAGAAGGGGGTGATGGAACAGATTTGGGTTGTTTTTTTTAAAGACCCCTTTCACGTGGAAGTTTTGTCCCTCCTCTTTCACTATCTCATTTCTTACCAAAATATATTCCCTTAGCAGCTCCACAGAGGTGAGCTTGGCCTGGGTCTCCGCTCCTGTTCGCACACACACTTGGAGCAGTCCGCTTAGCTATGGGGAAGGAACAAGCAGCCATTGTTAGAGCCCTTTCTCCTCCGGGTCAGGCTATTCCACCTGCGGGGAGTGGAGGAAGCCTTGTGAATCACCACTTCCCCGCCTCACTCAGGACCCTACACACAGCAAGGCTGCATTCCCAGCCAGGCACCAGAAGTAAGATATTCCTGTTGCGGTGTTTTGCCTTTAAACACTTCCTTTGTATTTAGAAACAAATGGTAATTACAGTCTCCCTGGCACTCCAGATGGCGGGCACCATCCCATCACCACAGCCATCACCACCCCCACTTGATCGCTTGCCTCTGCCTGAGCGGTGGAGACAGCTGTCAGTGGGAATTCTCCTGCAGCAGAACTTCCGGGTGTCACCTATTCTCTACTCCTGGGGGGGACACTGGCACGCTTCCCATTCTACCCCACCCCAAGCCAAGAAATAACTGAAAACCTTACCATCACACGAGACTACAAAACCGTCAAGCCCATCTGCTTGCTTTAGCAAGAGAAAACCAAGGTTCAGACTGAGGGAGGTGGCCTGCTTCAGTGACCCACTTTAAACCAGGGTCCCTCCTCCCAATACCAACCCCAAGATTGGAGTGCAAGGAGCATATTAGAGCAGGTTCAATGATGCGCTCTCCCCCACCTGCAAAATGTGGTATCATCAAGCCACACATGATGGTATCTGCAAAGGATATGTCCATATCTAAATTCCTGGAATTTTAGAATAGCACTTCATTGGACAAAGGATGTTTGCAGGTATAATTAAGAATTGTGGGATCATTTTAGATTACTGAGTGGGCCCTAAATTCAGTGACAGCTCCCCATAGAGGAAGAGATGGCACAGAGCGAGAAGAGGGTGTAGAGCCTGGAGGGGTGCAGCTTCAAGCCAAGAAAGTCCAACTGCCTCTAGAAGGTGGAAGGGACCAGGAACAGTCTCCCAGAACCTCACAGGAGACATGCCCTGCCAACACCTGTGTGCAAGCTTCTGACTCCAGAACTATGAGAGACTAAACGTCTCATTTCAAGGCACCACACGTGCGGTAATTTGTTACTACAACCTTGGCAAACTAATATAGATGGTGAACCAGAAAGGAGAAGCTGGGAGAAATAGGGAAAAAAGAGGCCACCAGGTGACAGTATGTTCATGAGAAGTTAGCACCTCAGACAGCTGCCATTCAGTCCTGCAGAGAGTCCAAGGGACTGGGGGGCCACACCTCAGAGTTGTCCCATACCAGGCAAGAAGGCTGGGATATGCAGTCATCCATCAGTGTCCTTGGGGGACTGGTTCCATGACACCCACCACCATCATCACCACCGTCACCCCTGCAGATACCACAATCCACACACCCTGCTCAAGACCCTGATATGAAACAGTGTGGAGTTTGCACAGGACCTATATACATGCTCCTGTATACTTTGAGTCACCTCCGGACTATTGTTAATATCTAATGCAATGTAAAGTCTCTGTATATAGTTGTTATACAGTATTTAGGGAATAATGACAGAAAGAAGCCTGTACATGTTCAGTACAGACACAATTTATTTCTTGAATACAATATTTACAATCTGCAGTTGGTTAAATCTGTGGATGCAGAACTGATGAATACTAAGTGCTGACTGCATCCACTAACTCTCTTCAGGCACTGCCAGGACTGCCCCTGGGTGAGACACTCCTATCTCACCCTTCCAGCCTACCCTGAGCTTAGATGGGGCCCAGTGCTTCCTCACTGGACAGGTGAGCCAACAGCATCTGCCTCAGTGGGCTAGAGGTAGGAGCAATCTTCTGAGGACAGTGTCATCTAGCAAGCAGTAGGGATGGTACTGGTCAGGTACAGAGTTTCTAAGGGTGAGTGTGATAAACCGACCCCACCCTCATGGTGCTCACCTTCTAGTGGACTGGTGGGATGATGCACAAAGTCATCTCAGAGATGGAAGGAGCTGATACCACCAGGATAATACGGGGCAGTAGCTGAGACTGATGGAGACACTGTGAGCTGAGACATTCGTGATAAGAAACTCACAGACCAGGGTGAGAAAGCACAGGGACACACAGCAAGTGGCTTTCACCCTAAGAAGTATGAGGCGCAGAAGCTCTGGACCTCAGAGAACACCATCAGCAGCATCCCTTACCATCTCCTTGCTGAACACAGATCTGGGCTCCCCATTTTTCTTCAAGCAATGGCTCTCAACCTGAGTGAGAGCCCTCCACAGACATTTGGCCATGTCTAGAGTTGTTACAACCTGTGAGGAAGGGAGTTAATACTGGCATCTCGTGAGTAGAGCTCAAGAAAGCTGCAAAACGTCCTGCTGTAGACAGAGAAGCTGCTATGCTGTAGCTCTAAAGTGTGTGCCTAAAGTTTCATATGTTAGAAGTAGGGTTTTCGGAAGATGGTTGCATCATGGGACATTGTATTTATCACTGGATTAATGCATTGATGAGTTCATAGCTGAATGTGCTGCTAGGAGGTGAGGCCCCACTGGAGGTGGGTCACTGGGGTGTGATCTGGAAGGACTTGCTCTTTCTTCCATCATGCCTTCCCAACATGCCATTTCTGCCTTGGTGCCAGATGACTATGGTCTGAACTCTCTGAAACCATCAACCACATAAACCTCTCCTTTACGTTTTGGGTGTTGAATATTTTGTCCCCCAGCAATGAGAAAGTGACTAATACAATAGCCCTTCACTGAAAGGATTATCCAGCCCAAATGTATCTTAAGATACAAATAATCCCCTGCCTTCAGCTTCCAAAGCGCCACAGACATTATTTTCTACCACTTTGTTCAAGTCACAGAGACTCTCAGACCATCAGACACACCAGGCTCACACCTATCTCCAGGCTTTCCCAGGTCCTTCTGCCTGAAGTGCTCTTGCTCCAGTATCCGTCGGCTCTTCCTTCATTGTTCAGGAGTCATCTTGGACATCACCTCACAGCAGGGGCCCTCTGACTATAAGTGTAATGAGGCCTTCCCTTCTGACAGTCCCAGTACTACCTTCGTGCCACTGAAGCACTGAGGCCTTCTCATTTATTTACATGTCACCTTATTTAGTCCAGCTGCCTAGGAATATAAGCTCCAAGAAGGCAGAATGAATCCAGATTGTTCACTGCTAAATCCACAATGACAGCTGCTATTCCTGACTCACTTAACTGCTCTGTGGATAGCTAAGGCTGAGGAGGATGTAGATGTATTTTGTTAACGACTGCCAGAGCCAGACGTGGTGGCACATGCTTGAAATCCTAGCACTTGGGAAGCTGAGGGAGGAAGATCACTTGAGTTCAAGGCCAGCCTTGGCTATATAGTGAGCTCAAGGCCATCCTAAACTACATGGCAAGACCCTGTCTAAAAAAATAAAAAGACAAGACTATCGCCTCCTCCAGGTCTGGCAGCCTGCCAAGGGTTAGAATTCCCACATGGCCACAGCACTAGGCCTAGTAAGTGCTTATTATCCTCCTCTATGCTATATGATATTACTTCACATTTGCTCTCTGCTCTGGCACTTCACACCAGTTTCTCATCTGTCTAGGAAGCCTCCTCTACTCCCACGGGAAGCTCTGTCATTTTGATTCTGTGTTCTCCAAAGGGGACTAATACTAATAAAGCCAGCAAGGCAGCTGCAGAGGAAGTGCTTCTACAGACCCCAATGTGTGCAGAGTCTTCTCTGACCCTATGGGAATGTTTGGAAACGATCTTGTGGAAAGCTGATGATAGCGCCCCTAAGCATGACCTTAGTTGGGGCAAGCTGTTTAACTTGGACCAATTAAGAGAAACCATTCAACATCATCTGTTTGATATTTTACTAGGCAAAAACAAATGAAAACATTCATGTAGTGAGGGAAATGGACTACTGGAGGAAAATTCATTTTTCCCAAACTCAGATAGAGAGAATGTTTTCTTATTACCAACCCCCATTCCAGTAAAATCATATCAGATAAATGACCCCAAAAGAGTGGAGTTTAAACAGCAAGGGGGTTGGGAAGAGGGATCACTGAATGATAGGGTTGCACATTTCCACAGGATGAGAAGAGGATGAGCGCCTTCTGAGAAGATGGAAGCAGAAAGAGCCTGTGTTTAAAGAGCAGAGCCCGAAGAGGCCAAGGGATAAAGAGGGGCCCATGAAGGCCTGGCCCCTTGATGGTCTGTCTGTGGGCTCTTGCTGGGTTCATATTTCACCTCCTTCTCCTCCGTCCTAATTAGAAGTGGTTAGACACTTTGTTCTAGGGCTTATGGTGCATGCACAGATACACACGCTTTTCTCTAAAGGAAGTGCATGAACTCCCTGGTGAGAAGCGGAGCTCATTTAAACCTAGCCTTTGGTACCTAACAGTCAGCTCCCTGGCTGCTTTCCCAGCGAAGCCTGCCTTTGGAGAAGCCCCACTACCCAGCCCACCCATGGTTGGAGACTTCCCCTCAGGGGAGACCTAGCACATAAAAGGCAGAGTAACCCTGGAAATGCAACCCAGGACCCATTCTTAAAGGCAAATGGGGCAGGAGACAGGTGAACAAAGGTGGTGGCATGAAAGCGCAGGAGCTGGGTAATCAAAAGCAAGAACTGCCCTGGAGAAAACAGATACAAGCCAAAGAACACAGGAGAGGTTGTGGGGTGGGGGGCTCTTATTAATACCCTGAGAGAAATTCAGAAGTAGTCCATTCATTTGAAAAATGATTCTTTTTAAAATGGAAAGAATGAAAGCTTTTGGAAATTAAGTGTATGAATATGTGGTTGTCAAACTTGAAATGGAAAAGAACGACTGACAAAGCTAAGGAAAATTCCGAGAACAAAGATAAAGACAAGAAAGCAGAAACACTACAACAAAGCAAAAGAAGCAGGAGCCTGGCACAAGAAATACAATGTGCAGCCACTGAGTCCCAGCGGGAAAACAGAAAGGAGGAAATTGCCAAAATGAAGTAGGAAAACGAGGAATTTTCCTGAGCTAAAGAGAAATTTGACTTTAAAAGAACCCACAGCACCAGGAGTCATATACTTTTTTAAAGCTCCACGTTCAGATACATTGTCCTGGAACCACAAAGTGCTGAGGGAAAGGAATGCAACTGGACGGCTTCCAAAAACCACAAGGTGAAGCCCATAGCAAGGGACAAAATTCAAACATCAGACCTAAGTGGCCTGGGTTCAAATCCCGGCTCTCATGCATGATGTGAGTGGGATCGCAGGCAAGGCTTTGGGCCTCGTTTTCCTCACATGCAAAGTGGGGCTTAGGGCAGTATGTAGCATCACTCAGGGGGAGGGTGGTGAATGAATTAATTTAGGTAAAAGACAGAATCTAAAGCACAATCAATTGCATGTATTCAGCTATCAATTGTTATTTTGCAAAAGAAACAAACCCAAGTAAGATCCCTTCGCCCGTCCAATCATTTCAATCCCGTCCAACCATTTCGATCCCGTCCAACCAATAAAGAGTGCTGGAACTCCCAAATTAATCCACTATGAGTAAAGCTTAGCTTTTTGTCTAGTATTTAGGGCAGGAAATGTTCTCCTCCTGCTGCAGACTCTGAGGCTGTTGGTCACTATTCCACACCCATAAGGGAAAGTAGGAAGAAAAGCCAAAAGCCTCTGTCCCTGACGTCCATGCAGCTACCCAACTTCTTAGGGATGTGAACCACTAAGGGCTCTATCATCTAAACCCACTTTTCTGTTACATCCATCCGCAGGCATGCTCCCTGGCATACAGCAGGGCATCCAGGCCAAGCCCAACTTGTCCCGTGTGTTACCTGGATGATGTAAGACAATGACAAGCCTTTCGATGAAGCACTGATTGAGAAGAAACTCAAGGTCACCAACAAGGCTACAATGAAGGTGACAATATTCATGAGGACATCCATTCTCAGAGCAAACCACCGGAGAGCACAGTTAAAGTACAGAAGGTGGCTGGAGTTTTCATCATTTAGCACCTTAAACCTAAAATTAAGAAAATTGGATAAGAGGTCAGGTTGTCTCCAGGTCAGGCTGTGCTTAGGGTGAGGGGTATTATAGAAGTGGCACAAGGGATTATTAATCAAGGTGCTGCATTCTTATACAAGGAGCTCTACCGAAATGAGCATCCATCCGGCTTCTATCTACCATCACCAGATCTTTGATTTGCACATATTCTGAGAAATCTCATGTGGCAGTTGAGAACAGTGCTATGTGGGCCCTTTCTGTCTTTCCCAGAACTGGCAACTGGAGCTCACAGCTGAGAGAAAAAGCTGCTGAGAGCCTCACACCCCAGCTTCAGAGGATCCCTGTCTTGAAGTCAAGCCTCTCCCCGCAGAGGCCTGTGTGTGCAACCCTCACTGGTCCCCTCGATATGTAAAAGTGGTGGAGTGGGGTAGAGCGTAGAGGAGGTCGTCTTTGGGGACAGTCAATTTTGTGACAGTGCCAGAGGAAAGAAGGGCACAAGAGACAAGGTTCAAGGAGTGGACATCTTGTTTGCCTGTCACATGTCCTCAGAGCCACGGGCTTGGTGAGGGGAGAAAAAGCCAGCAAGGCAGGATGCAGGCCATGGGGCAAGACCCACCCTGGGGTCCCTCGTTCTCCTGATGTAAGCAAGTTGCTCTTGCCAGTTCCTCAAGCTGAAGGCATTTCCCTCACAAATGCCACATGGAGGAGAGGTGGCATTTGTGAAGGAAAGAGACCTCCACCTCAGAGGAAGGCTTCCATGTGGGCCCCCTGGAAAGTCCAGCAGACCTCACTCACACAGCAACACCTAACAGAGCAGCTTAAGAGTTGGTCCTGCTGGGCTCTCACCATGCTGCACCACATGCAAGAACTAGCCTCAGGAAGGGGAGCATGGCCCAGAGGCAGGCAGGCACCTGAGGGTGTGCAGCTCCTCTTCCCTCTCCCATTCCCATGAGCCACCCTCACACAACCAGGCTCGGAGGAAAGGGGGAGGGTGTTTAAAAGAAAACACCAGCAGCTTCCCAACTGCAGACCTGCCTGCCACCCCGACACACACACAGACACACACGCAGAGCCCAGACCTGCCATTCCAAGCTCCTGGAGGAAAAGATGGTTGTGACTTGAATATTTGCATATCCAAGACTGAAATCTTAACCACATAGGACTAGCCATTAGCTAAATGCAATAGATTCCATGTAGGGGGAAAGGGGTTTCATCGGAAGAGTTGATAGAAATTATTGGGAAGAGGAGTTCTGCGTCCTCCACTGCACAGTCACAAATACCCTTCAGAACTGCCAGTCCTCCCCATAGAGGCACCTCTGACTAGATGTTTGGGGCTCTGATCTACCTCCCCTCACTTTTCCCCCCAGAGCTTAGCCAAAATACTCTTCCAAACACCATAATATTTCTATTTGGTGGCAAATGTATTACACGCCAGAAGCCCAAGCCCTCTGTAAAGAAGACATGGAAAGACAGGAGACCCCTCAAGTATGTAGAGCACAGCTCCCATGGTATTCTCCTAGAAATCATGGAGGAGAATCAATGGGAGGATGAAGCTCAAATCTGTTCTGTTTGCCAAGAGTGAAGAGCTGAGTAGCTCCATGGACTTTCCTCATCATCCAGACCATCCAGACATTGGAAGGGTCTGTGTGTGATGCTGGACCCTTGAAGAATGACATCAGTCAAAATCTTTGACATTAGGTCTAACTAGTGACAGAACTAGCTGCTCACTGAGCCAGGGACAAGCTGTGAAGTTAAGTCTACAATGAGCTCCTGGGTGGCAATGTGGGGAGACAGATAGAGAGACAGAGAGAGAGAGAGAGGGAATTAGACACAATCTTCAAAGTTATTTAAGGAAGGAAAAGATAAGGAAAGAAGAGGTGGCAGAGACTGCTTTACATTCATCAAACTCTGTCTTCATTTCCTCCTTTGGACACGGCTAGACTACATTCCCAGACTTCCTCACAACCAGCTGGGCCCACGTGACTGAAATCTGGCCAATGAAAGTGCAGAAATGCTGATTACCCTCCCTGGGGTCAAACCATAAAAATGTTCCATGGGGTCCACTGCCCTCTTTGCTCCTTTTCTCTTCCCAAAGCCTTTGGAACAGAAAAGCACCAGATAGAAAGTGTAGGTATGTAAGTGGAGAAGAATCTCCTTCCCCTGTCCCATGGACCCTCATTACTCTGTGTCTTGAGGAAGAATAAACATTTATTGCATTACAACCCTAAGTCTTGGGGTTATGATTGGTACATTTTCTTGTTATTTTATAAGTCTGGAGCTGGAAGGCTTCAAAGAAATTTACTAATCAAATCCCCAAGTTTTTAAAAGAAGGAAATTGCCCTATCTGTGAAATGAAATGTGGCCTTTAAAAGTTATTTTCACAAGTAATATGTAATAACATGAAAACTGCTACATAAAAATAAGAAATTTTTAAAACAATAAAAAATGACTATAAATACTTCAGAAAACCTCATGAATGGAAAAGAAGAAAAAACTGGAAAGAAGTACAGGTTGAGTGTCCCTTATCTGAAGTGTTTAGGAACAAAAATATTTCAGATTTTGGATTACTTTCAGATTCTGACATATTTGCATATATATAATGAGATATCTTGGGGATGAGACCCAAGTCTACACACAAAATTCATTTATATTTCATATACTTCTTCTACATAGCCTGTAGGTACTTTATATTTTTAATATTCCTGTACTTTTACTGCAACACATCCCATGAGATCCAATGAGGAATTTTCTACTTTGTTTGTTTGTTTCTTTGTTTGTTTGTTTTTGTGGTACTGGGGATTGAACTCAGGGCCTTGTACACGCTAAGCAAGCACTCTACCAGCGAGCTACCTCCCCAGGCTGAATTTTCTACTTGTAGTGTCATGTCAGCTCTCAGAAAGCTTTAGGTTTTGGAACATTTCAGATTTCAGAGTTTTGTATTAGGAAGGGTCATCTTGTATATGAAAATATTAGTAGAACTGGAGCTTGGAACACATGTAAAAATTTTTTTTTCTTCTTTCTCCTATTTTCCTGAGATGAACGTATTTTTACCCTTAGAATGAAAATGAAGCATAAAGTCCTATCCTGAGATCATCCCTGAATGAGCTGCCCATATTTACATCTTTTGGGGCCCCAGGTACACAGGGCACAGCCAGGTGTCCAGGAGGCTCTTGCCAGGCTCACGGTCTTCACCATCAGCCAGTCCCAGCAGCCCAGACTCCCCTTTGCAGCGCAGAGACTGCTCCTGTGGCCCCCACAGGGTCAGCATGGGGCGGGAGGACTCACTTATGGATGCAGTCGTCCTTCTTGCCGTAGGCATGAATGACACCCAGACCCTGCATGGAGGAGGTGATGTGGGAAAACCAAGGTGACCGGCTGATGTTCTCTACCTTCTTCAGCTCCTGGACTCCTCTGTGAAAAATGCTGCAGGAAAACCAAGAGGGGCCAAGAAGGCCACAAAGTGGGGTCAGTGGGCTGCCCTCGGTACATGTAGATCCCACCATGCATGCACCATGACACTGGTCAGAGAGGGGGCCATCCAACTGGGCAGAAAGAAGGCTCCATCCAGCTGTATGTGACACATGGACATATAAGAGATGTATTTCTCTTCCTTCATTTGCTGTCAGACTTAAGTGATTCTTTGGGAGTGAGTGTGTAAGAGGGATCAAACTCAGGGTGCTACATCTTCAGCCCTTTGTACTTTTATTTTGAGACAGGGTCTCAATAAATTGCTCTTGTAGGACCTAACTGGTGATCTTGCTGCCTTCGCCTCCCTCAGGGCTGGGATTCTCACAGCAGAAATGTCACCCTGCATATGCTATAATCCTAGTTTGGAAGAGCAGAATGTTTCATGCAGTGTTGCCCCCAAATAAGCCAACCCGTTTTTGAAGCCCAAGTATACAAAAAGGAATCTGTTCTAACATGAAGGAAAACCTGGCTGTCAACTGCCATGTATGGTCTTCTAAAGACATCCTCGAAGGCAATTGTGGAGGACCACCAAGACGGCTCTCCCTGGAAGAAGACAGTTTGTCTCCCTTTTGGCTCACCTTTGCCCTACTTCCATGTATTGATATATACAGAGCTGGCTAGAAAATAGCTCTACCCACTCCACTGGCTTTAAGCAATGCAAATGGGTCCAGTCAAGGCTTACAAGGTAGCCTTGTAAGCAAAGTGACAGGTCAGTGGTGCCCCACCTAAGCGAGAGCTAGGTTAAGAGATGCTGCACTGTTGGCTGGGACTGAGCGGGGAGGTCCCAGGGCATTAAAGAAAACCCAGACATCAGAGCTGAAGCAGCCCACCCAAAACACAGGATACTTCCTCAAACTGTGTTATGCAGCGTCTTCCAAACTTAAAGGTTCCCTGTTACCAGAATCCGGTGCTCTTTCTGCACACCTCTCTGTGCATATTGCAGGGGTGCCACTGGGTCTCCCACCTAGCCCAGCTCGCAGTACTCACTACTTCCCACCATTCTCACAGTCACCCATCCCCAAGCCACCCCCTCTTCACATCCAGCCTTTGTTCCAGTTAGCCATTGTTCCCACTGGACTTAGGACCCCCTTGGCTCCCCACAGCTGCAGTTATGTCTGTCTCTTTATTCTCATCATGGATGAGATGCACTGGATGTGGTAGGTTGGAATTTACATGAGAATGCTTATAATTCGTTTACCTGGGATTACAATTATAAATTCGCCCAGACCAAAAAGAGGCCTGGACGGCCTCCTATAGCAATTTTGAACAAACATCATCATAACCTCAGGAACTGACTTTAAAACCAATCCCCTCTCAGGTCACAGCCCCTTCATGGGGAACCCCAAAGGTCCCTGGTGAGCCAGAGACAGGGCCCCTGGCTCCCACCCACATCAGCTAGCTACATGTGGGAAAATATAATCTGGCCTCCAGACTCACCTAAAACTCACCCAGGGGGGAGAGGAGGGAGTCTCATTAGCTCAGAGCTTAAGTGAGTTAGTTGGAAATATTTAGATAATTCAGTCAGGACCAGGTCTGGTCTGTCCCACCTTTATAGCAAGAAGTAGGGATTCCAGGGAGAGAAAAAGCTTTTACTAAATCAATCAACAACATAAACAAAAGAGCAGAAGGAACAGTGGTCAAACATGGGGTTTATAGAAATGAACACAGGCCCAAGGAATCCACTTGAAGTACTGACATCCAAGGTGTGCTCTACCTTTGTAAATGATTTTTCAGAAATTATTTTTACTTGGTCATCACAATAAAGCCTTGAGCATCACCAGAGAGTACTGCGGTGAGGGACTGGAGCTCCTGACCCCAGGGCACTAGTGCTGACTCCCAGGGCCACACCAGCTCCTGCAGGGATGCCAAGTCCAGCTTCCAGCCCAAAGCTTCCCCATGCACTTTACCACTGTCCACGCCATCACCACAGACCTGATGGAGAAATTTGAACCATCCAGAACTAAACTCATCGTGGTGACTACCCAGACTGCCTCTCCTGTGTCACCTCCATCTCTATACATCGCTGTCCATCTCGGGGTCATCGCTGGCCTCTCCCATCTCCCCAATAGCCCAAGTCCCACCAGTCATGAAACCAAGACTACCTTATAAATAGCTCTCAAATCCACCCATCTTTCCTCTTCCACCATTTATTGACATAAATTGATCATCCGGTCCAACTGAGGCTCACAACAACCCCTCTGAAGCAGGTGAGGTGCACATTTTAATAATTACCTTCTAGGAGATGAAAAAAACCGAGGTTTCTTCCCTTCTCTGAACTAACCCACGGTCTTCCGGCTAGGCTGTGACAGAGCTGGGGTTCTACTGTCAATTTCCTTATTGGCAATCCTCACCCCATGCAGCTTGTCCCATCTGCTGAGAACCCTACTTAGTCCAGGAAGAACAGGAGCTATGTCTCTGGGAGCTGGAGTCCCTGCCACTGTCCTGCTTCCGCACAAGGTGGAATGGCCTAAACTTGACCAGAATCCTCAGGGCAAGGCAGGTCTTTCTGTACCCATGTTAATTAACTGTGTGGGTGAGCCATGCTCGAAGCATGGAGAGATTGAGGCTGGGTCTCCTCTTCTGCATCAGCCAGAATGGTGGAGTCCAGTGATTAGGGATACTATCAGTAGACAGATAGCAACCATGATTGCTAGTTTCCTGATCTGAGACCCATGCCTTCACCTCCCAATATTGTGTACCTCTCAGGGTTCTCTGAGGCTAAATTCCAGATGTGTAGAATGCCAGATGTTCAGCAAGTGATGAAAATCAATGGGCTCCACCACTGGATAGGACAGCAAGTGCTCACCATCTCCTGACCCCCATTCAGTGTGCCCATGAGCTCTATGCTTGTGTGTGCATACCTGTGTGTAGATTTCTCCTTTAAAATAGTGCATAGATAGACTTACCTTAAAAGAATGATGAAGACTACAGCAAGGCCAGCCAGGACCAGAAGGACAGCAGGAAACACAATAGCAAATATCACGAGAATGAACACCACCATAAAAAACTGTTGTAGAAAGTTCTCGGCGTGAAACGGCAGCCTCACATCCAGCTCATCCATATCCTTGGAAAAACGGTTCATTAGCCTGCCAGTTGGAGTTGTGTCGAAGAAACTCATCGGGCTCTTCAAGATCTGTGGATAATAGCAGAGGCAAACAGAGTCAGGTGAGTGTTTGGCAAAGCCTGGGCCACTCCACTGGGGCTGGGGTGGGAGCACAGGGCTTGCCTGACCTTTTCTCCAGGGCACCACCCAGCATGCCAGGCAATCCCAGGGAAGTGAGGATGGGTGCCGCACTTCTCATGGCAATCATGAGTGGTTGTGGGGGAGATCCTGCCCATAAGTAGGGTCAGGTTGCCCCTCAGAATCTAGGATGCACCTGGTGCCTTCAGAAGAAGGCGGGATTTTATTCCAGGCCAGTAAAAAGCCAAGTTCCATTTTGTCTCTTCACCCTCAAAATGTGAATACTCAGCACAGACCCTTGTGGTCAGTGATGGCAGTGCGTGGTAGAGTGAGTTTCAAGCACCCCTTGAGGCCCTTACTGCACTCAGGGTTCTTGGAGCAGGAGACACCCTCTTGGCCTGCACGCCTATGCTCCAGAATGGCTCTCTACCTCTCCCCATAAGCCCATGGTGCACCCTGACAGCTCCCTGGAATGGGCCTTCACCAGTGGTAATTAGATCTACAGGGACACTTCACACGCTGCAAGCTCCATGAGGGCTCTTCTGTCCCCAGGGTACAGCTTAGTGCCTGGCACACGGCAGAGGCTCGATAAGCCCCACTAGCTTATCATGGATCATGGGTGCACCTCGGCCCTGGGCCCACCTTGTCGAAGACTCTGTCGTGCAGCAAGGAGGATGCCATCAGCGTGGTCTTGGTGAAGATGAAGCCTTTGATGATCCCAAACACCAGCATAGACACCATGCTGGCTATGTACACCCACTGGTACTTGTGCTGCCCAGCATCTGCCAGGATCTGGCCAATCTCGCACAAGGTCTTGTTGCCCTGAGGCCCGCAAGTCATCTTTGGGGTGAAATAAGAGAGGCCCCGTGAATTGGTAAAGTGCGAGGAGAAGGGGAAATTTCCAGAGAAGCTAGAGAGAGGTACACAATTGATGAGAATGAGTCTGGTGGGTACCGTGAGTCATTGCCTATGCAGCCTCTGAGTTTGCATAACTCCTCCCCAAGGGGCACTTGACATGAGTGTTGCACGGTCAGAGGGAAAAATAGAATAGATAAACTAGGCAGGTGCAGGGCAGAAGCTACCTATGCCTCACAAGGCTCAAATTGATGCTAAGCCAGTGGGATCCAGCGACAAACAGGGAATCCGGATCTTCTGAGACTGGTCAAGCAAACCTGAGGCACCTTGGGCAGGACAGGGGCTCAGGGATCAGTCTCCAGCTTGCTGAGCTGCCTGGCATTGGCCATCAGCACCTGGAGAGATCCAAGGATTCCTCTACATGATGACTAGTTTCACAGCCCTTTCCTTGTCCTGCTCCCAAGGGCCAACAGGGAGGGTATGGCCCTGGAGTCCCTAGTGGGGTGCAGAGGTGACAGTAGTCAAAGGGGTTCTTGGGGATTTAAAGAAGCTCCATCCAGCCCAAGAGGAGATAGTTCCACTAGCATCTCTAAGAGACTCCGTCTCTCCTTCCCCTTGAGAAATCAGAAGCTCCATTTTTCTCTGGGCTCTGTGCTAAAAGTCAAGAGCGCCTTCGGGGACCAAACAAACATCTTTCTTCTAAATGCCACTCTGCTGATTACAGTAATGGAGGAAATGTAAACCAGAGGTGGCTGATGGATGAGCATCTATAAAGGCAAAAGCATCCCTGGGGAGCTAACTGACGGAAGGCCTAGCTCAAAGAGGAGCTGCTCCTATATCTCGGGCTGTGCCCACACTGTCGAGGGCTCCAGGGTAGAAGCACAGGCCCACCACCATGGCCACATGCCTGGTAGAAGGACCAAGCCTAGGAGGAGGGTCCATCGTGACTCTATGCTGAGGCTCTTTAGGGAAAGGGCTCTTTGAGGGCCAGCAAGGAGCTGAGAGAATACATACCTCCCAGAAATGGCTCTTTGTGTCTGCAAAGAGCAAGCCACCCATGGGATATCCCAGGAATGGCCCCCAGAAGCTATGCCGCACAGCCTCTCCCCTGCCCAAGCCTCCTCGCTTTGGTCGTCATAGCAACAGAACTGTACCAAAATGGAATCTTGCCAAACGGGCAGGCACCCTCACAGCAGTCTCCAAGGGCCAACAGTAGGAGAGCTTCTAGCAGGCTCAAAAGAGAGAAAACTTATCAGTCCTTCCTAGGAGGGGCCCTGGCTAAGATGAGAGCCCTGGGAGGCAGGGAAAGGGTCCTGATGACCCTGTAGCATTCATAGGAACCAAAGCCTCACGCTTCTGTGTGCCATTTCTATAAAGGCGACTTGGGGGATCAGAGCCATCCTGAGTCTTCTGGAATCTGGCAGCCCCCACAAGAAGTTGTTTGCTTCAATTCAAAAGCAGAAAGATGTCAGTCTGTGTCCGGGTTTCCAGCCCCTCCCTGCACTCCTTTAGGCTGCAGAACTACCCAACCCTCTGTGTGCTTAGCCTGCAGCTGGATTTGACCGGCACCATCTCTGATCACTGACCCCTTAAAATCTGAAAGTGGTGCAGAGAATTTCAGAAGCCCTCTTTAACCAGAGAAATTGAAGCGAATCTCAAGTTTAACCCATGAGGTATAAGCAGCTGACTGCAACCGCATGAAAAGAGGCAAAAATGAGCTCCTGGGGTGCTGTGGGGCATATTCTCCATCAGCGACATCTTTGCTCTGAGACAGAGACCGGCCCTACCAGAGGGAAACTCACCTGGGTGCCCTTGTCCAGCCAGAGACCCAGCCACCAGTTGCTGAAGGCAGAGCTGCCGATCATCAGGAAGAAGAGCGACGTCGTGAAGAGAGAGAGGAGGTACCCTGCGAGAGCAAAGGGGAGCTACAGCTACAGGTACAACAGGCAGGGTGCACTGACCTTCCTCAGCATCCAGCCCTGGGAATTTAGGCAGTTTGAGCCTGTGAGAAAAGGATTTCCACCCCTAGGAACACCTTCCAGCTGGACTCAAGATGTCCTGGCATTGGGACCCTCATCCCAAAGAGGACATCTGCTCCATTCCTTTAGAAAATGGGTCAGAACTGTCAACATACATGCTGGAAAAACCTCCAGTGTGCACCCTAATATAAGCAACTGAGGATCCTTTAAAAGCAAACAAGTGAAGACCCACTTGTGTTGGGGAGAGATTAGGAATCCGATGAGAGGTTTGTTCTGCACACACACAGATGGGATCTTTCTCAGAAACCGGGTAATGGGCTGATGGCTGCTGTATGGGAGCCCATAGTGTGCATGGGCAGAAGAAGCCCCAGTAAAACAGAGTCTGGCAGCTTTAATGGAGATAAAAAATGACTCCATTTAAAAGGCTATATTATCAGGCTTTAGTTTTTAGGGGGAACAAAATAAAAGCATTGATAAACAGTCCTGGCGTAAAGAGAAAAATTGTGAAAGGAATCTTAAAACATGAACCCAACAGTTTAAGAAGAGATTTTTAAAATGCAAATTAAATCAAGAAACCCGTTGTTTTATACCAAACCTCCAGAAGCCTTAATGTATGTGTGATATGTCTTCCAGGTCACGGCTCCTCCGCGGGAGGGTTCGGTCTGGGTGAGCTGGTGCGTCGGCACTGTGGAGGCAAACACATGGCTGTGGCACCCCCTGCGGGGTGGGAGCCAGGGAGGCCGGCGCAGCCCCTGCCACACCCCGCAGCACTGGTAAGGGTGCACATGACCTGCCCTTCCATCTCCCCCGTGCCTTCCAATTTCCAAATGCTTTTGTTCGTTTTATTTTGTTTGCTCATCGTTACAGTCCTGTGAGGTAGGTGGCTTCTAATGTTTTGAGAAATGCTTATTGAGCACCTACTGTGTGCTCAGCCCTGGAGTTGCAGGCGTTGTTTTGGTCTGTTGCTCCTGGAAGCAGACCCCCAAGCAACAGATACAAAAACCTATACGGTCAGCCCTCTACAGTTACAGGTTCTGCAGCTACAGATTCAACCAAGCTCAGATTAAAAATATTTGAAAAAACATTGTGTCTATGTGAAATATTTATAATTTTTTTACCTTGTCATTATTCCTTAAAACAATACAGGACAATGACTGTTTACATAGCATTAACATAGTATTAACAGTGCAAAATAGAGATGGTTTAAAGTATATGGGAGGATGTGTGCATACTACATGCACATACATGTCATGCTATTTCGTCAGAGTCTTATGCACCACAAGTTTTGGTATCTGTGTGCGTGTTCTGGAACTGGCCCCCCCAAGGGTCCAAGGGGTGACTGTAGTTTATTTGGAAGGTAAAGCAAATTAAGGAAAGGAAGGCAACAGTAAAATATCATCAAGCAGCTTTGTGTAACTGGGGCTGGATCCCACATACAGAGCTCTCCTAGGTGGTAGGGACCTCAGAACCTTTCATACAATGAGAAGGATCCGAAATTGCTAACTTCGGTGGCCACTGAGGAACAGTTACTCCTTGGGAAGGTCAATTTCCCAGCATGACTTGTGGCTACCAGCAAGAGCCCCCAGGCAAAGGAACACAGAGGCGGAACCCAAAGATGGGCTGCATGCCCAGGAGTGACAGGGCACCCATCTTCTCCAGGGTGAGCACGAAGGAGCCCACTCCTGCCTCCCCAGGGCATTCACCAGCACAGGAAAGCCCAGGGCTCCCTCCTAGGCCAGCTGCCTCCCTGTGGCTGTAGCTGTGGCTGCAGCTGCCCCCAGTCCTCTCCATCCCCCAACTGGTGGGGAAAGCTCTGGAGGAAACAGCATTTCAGAGGGACAGGGAGGAAGCAGCTCCAGAGCTGGTGCTGGAGGCACGGAAATGTCAATTCCAAAGCAGAATCATAAGCCCACTCGGCTTCTATAAACAGAGATAAAGAGAGCTGGCCAAAGGCTGCCCCACACATGGAGGCTTTCACACCTCAAAGGCACCTCGCTGAATAGAACCACCATCATGCCTTCTGCTGGGGACCCAGTGCTGCTTTGAAAATGCTCAGCCTGGCTGTGCTCACTGTGCTTCTGCTCAGACTGGGAAATGAAGGCAATGCCTCAGCTGTGGGCAGAGCCTAATGAGTGGCCCCCTGGAGGCAAAAGCAAACAGTCAAAGCCCCTTGCAGCCCTCCTGCCCACCAGCAGAGGCCAGCTAATGGAAATGCTCTGGCAGGCGGGCGAGGTGGACAGCGCTGCCCCTGCCCCTGTGGTCTCTCTCTTGCTCATCGTGGAGGACCGGGTCTCTCCCCAGTGTGGCAGTGCCCAGTTCACTGTCCTCTCCGCAGAGGGGTGGGTGGTGCAGAAATGAGGAGTAGAGATTACTCTCCCTACAGGGCCCAGATCCCGGGCAAACTGAATGGACTCCCAAAAGCGTGGAAGAGGTGTCTGAGTATTCAGCCTAAAAATCCTTCAAAGCAGTAAAAATAAGGTGTCTTTTTAAACATGCATCTGAACATGCATATATGTGTGACAAGCGCATTAGTGATGCCAAATTTGATCTCTTCCAAGACTTCTTTTCTCTTCACATTTTAACATCTCTGAAATCTGTGTGTGTGAGATCGTTTCATTGGCAGCATTTTTTCTTTCTCACTTGTACATTAAATGGTGGTGGGCTCAAAACAATGGGTGGCGTCTTAAATTTGATGAAATGTCTGTTTTCAGCAAAGGGCAGGGTATAGAGTTGGCAGAGTGGATGGAGGGATGGAAGGAGGCAACGACATGGAGGGAGGAAGGGTCTCTCGGCCGTCCTGGGTTGCTCGGCCATGAATCTCATCTGTCCTTCCTGACTTCCTGGGTCTTCCTTGTTCCCTCAGCCTTAAAACCCCCATCCGCCCTTTTCTCCAGCCTCTTAGAAAACTTCTGCATATCCTTGAAGGACAGTCTGAAGCCCACCCTTTGTAAAGTGCCCCTGAACTTGTTCATGAACCCAGTCCCCTATTACTCTTACTGGTTTCCCACAGTGGTACATTTGCTTGAGGATTTCCCACAGTGATACATTTCCCCCAGGATCCTGAGAACTGGTGCAACTCTTCTTTCTCCCCTAGCCTAGCTTAGTGTCAGGCACATAGCAGAATGCTTATCCCTTATTTGTTGAAAGAGTAAATAACCTCATCCCACCTTGTGTTGGCTTAGATCTGAAACATGTCCCAAAAGTCCCATGTGTTTAGATATGAGGCTTTTGGAAGGTGACTAGATCATGGAGACACTATTCACTGGTGAATTCACCCACTGTTAAATTCCAGCTGAATGAGCTGTCAGCAGGTGGGCCTGGTGGGAGGAGGTGGCTCACGAGGATTTTGACTTTGGAGGGTGCATTTCTTGCTCTGGCTTTTCCCTGCTCTTTCTGTGTCCTGGCTGCCATGTGTTGAGAAGCTTTCTCTTACTGGGTCCTTCTGCCATGTTGTTTCTGCCTTGGAGCCAGCTGCCCCTGGACTGCACCCTCTGAAACCATAAGCCAAATAAACCTCTCCTCTTAAGTTGAATCTGGTATTTTGCCCCAGTGAAGGAAAATTGACTAATACACACCTTGAGCCCCTTACTGCTTCACAGTCCTTTCTCGGTGCTCCTCATAAGGAGTGCAAAACAGCTCCTGTTCTTACTTTTGCTTCAAGTTAATCCTTGTACATTGCTCTGATCTCTCCAACTAATAACTCTTGAGGATCACTGTGTATCAGGCACTGTGCCAATCACTTTATGTAGTTTCTCATTCAATCTTTACTAGACCCTGTAAGGTTGGTACTATTATTTTCCCATTTGATGTCCTAGAAGGCTAAGGTTTGGAGTGGCCAAGGTCACAAAACTAGTAAGAAGTAGAGCCAGACTTTGAACTCAGCCAGCCTCAACCATAGTGCACATATAGTTCTAGCTGTCCTAGTGATGTTCACTGTTCTGCACTTTCTATCCCAAACTGTAGATGCTCAACTCATGCTTAGGAATATGTAGCCAGACAGACATGGCGGCACACACCTATAATCCAGCACTTGGGAGGCTGAGGCAGGAGGATTGCCTCAAATTTGAGGCCTGCCTGAGCTACGTGGCAAGACCCTATCTCAAAAAAGAAAAACAAACAAAAAAAAGAATATGTAACCAAGGAAATGAATGAATGGTCAATACCTTTTTTGTCTACAAATTCTGACTCAGTTTCAGATTCTTTGCCTTCCTCTTTCTCATCTCCTGGGGCCAAAACTAGGGCGAGAAATAAAGAGAGATCTGTGTCTGTTCACGAGCAAAGGGCAGTAGGAGTGCTGGGATCGTAACTCTGAGCATACCAGCATCTTCCCTCTTCTCAGCAGGGCTCTCCTTCAGGGCCTCCACCATGGCTGCATTGTAAATGTGCTCAGGGTCCTGGAGACAAAATGAAATTCCTTCTGAAAGTGAAATGACAAAACTTCTCCCCAGCAGGAAATCACCACAAAGGCTCCCAATCTCCCCCGCAGGGGTACACACAGTTACCTTGAACTGCAGCCCCCGGAGGTTGTGAATCAGTTTTGCATAGCGCCCTCTCTCCTCCATTAACTCCTTGTGGGTCCCTTTTTCACAAATCTCTCCATCTTCTAACAAAATGACTTCATCACAAGACTCCAGGAACTGCAGAGGGTAAAGTCATCTATAATGAACTTCTGCCTCCGTTAAAGAAAGGAAAGCCTACGCCAAACTCCCAGGTAGTGGTGATCAGCGCGTTTAATACAGGCATTCTCAGTCTTGGCCGTATTGATATTAGGGGCAAAAATAAGGCTTTATCTTGGGTGGGGACTGCCCTGTATATTGTGGGATATTCAGCCCCTGCTCTGGTCTCTACCCACTAGAAACCCACAGCATGCCTTTCCCCAGATGACAGTAGAAATCCAAACATCACCAGGGCCCCCCAGGGCCCCCAGGTGAGAACCACAGATCAAAACCACACAGGTCTCAGGAGGACAAATGCCGGCCTTGGCTTTCCCTGTGAAGCACAATGAATCTTCCTTTGCTTCTGCTCCCTAAATGAACTGCCCTCCTACACAATCTGATTGTGGAAAAAATGAAAATGAAACTGACAGTCACTGCAGCCAAGATTCGTAGAGAGGAAACACGACCTCAGCGACGCCTCTGTCCTTGTAACAGGACACGTTCTTGTCCCCATCGAGCTCCAGGGCCTCCAACCTTAGCACAGCGGCACAGGTGCACTTCTGAACCCGGGTTTGCACCGCTTTAACTGTGCGATAGACATAGCTTCACTTCGTGTGGCATTCCCATCTTGCCCAAAACACTTCTGTTTTTCTCATTTGGATTCCCTTCACGTCCGTATCACTCCTGTGAGCAGAGTTCTGCTGAGAGGGGCTTCCCTTCCTTTGGAATAAACCAGAGCTCTCCCATAGGATCCTCGTGTAATGAGCAGGAAGCCCCCTGCTAGACATGGGCAAATTCTGTGAGAGTTAAGAGGGTCCAGCCCAAAGAAATTTTACAGCAGGAGTCGGAGCCGGCCTCCTGCCTGCAAGGCCCACCCAAGGTCAAATCTGCAGAGGAAGCTCTCACTAGAAGCCCAAAGGAAGTGGCTCCATTTGGCCCCAAACACCTGGCCGGTATGGAGTGAGGGGGTGGTGCCCCAAGGGTCCATGACAGCAGTTCCTACAGCATGGATGGTTCCAGCCTCTGCCTCCCTACCCAGCACCTTGGACAGTCCAGGCAGACCAGGCCTGGCCTTAAAGTCCAGCTCAACGCTCTGACAGCCTTTCGGAAGACAAACTCTTACATTTGTACATCTTCTGTCATTTCAAAGCCTGATCTCTTCTCTCTCAGCCTCCCACTTGTAGTATTTCAAAAAATCAGGTAGCTTGGTAATAAATCAGCTGATTTTCTAGATGAGGAAACTGAGGCACCACAGGTCCTGTTAGTGCCGCACAACCCTTTACGCCAAGGCCAACACCCCAGGCCTGGAAAAGCCTGGTGAAGCTCCCTCTGGCCCACTGGCCCCCAGTTCACTCCTGCAAGACTCCCCAAGTTTGAGCAGCTTTCTTCTGCACACGCTCACCTATCTGGCCCTGGGTCAAATATGAGCCCCAGCTGCTGGCCTCAGTTCATGTTTCGTCAAGTGACTGGAAATGTGGTCTCTCCCACCCAGCCACTCAGAAGCACAGGTAGAAGCAGCTGAGAAATGTTCTGGAAAAGCCCAGGGCTCGGTTCTGGGGCTCTGAGTCCCCTCCTCCTGACAATAGGAGGGATGGCTAGAGCGAGATGCTGGTGCCACCTGGTGGCTGCCTGCATTTCCCAAAATGAAAAAGAAGCTAAAATGACCTTGGGGAAAGGAGGGGTCTGAGGCTGAAGCCCAGGAAAGATGGGGCTTGCCTAAGGCTAATGAGTGTCAAAGATGGCTCAAGGCTGAGGTTAGAACTTTTCCTGGAGGAACAGCTGTGCCCTGCGCTTGTCGGGACTCCTCCAGAGAACAGCTCTCCTTACAGGACATTCACAGACCAAGCTATGATTTTATGTCTAACACCCCGGCTGCACCATAGCCCATTTCCACGGAGGTCCCGAAGAAATCCAGCCCCTACCTCCCCTGAGCCTTGGCCAACAGAGGACAAAGAAGCTCTTGTCCACACCAGTCCCCTCCAAGGAATGCTGCAGACAGCCCCCGCATGCAGCAATCAAATGAGTGGAGCAGATTCTGGAGCCAGAACTCTAGTCCTGGGGAAAAGGGGTACAGAGGCAAGGCCACAGTGACAGGAAGCTTGCCTCTTTCTCGCATCTTGGAGAAACTCCTCCTTCATCAGGAGGGTCTTCCACTGGACCCTATAGTACTGGCTGCTGGAGCCTGTCAGCATGGCAGCCCCATTTGCCGCACCCCCCACGCCCACCTCACCTTGTGAACCCCTGCCTGCCTCCTACCTTAGCCCAGCCCTCGCTGAACTTGCCAGGGCAGAGATGTGGCTTCCGCCCTCCACGGAACCCAATGGACCTCCCAGGGCAGGTCCCTCCACAGAGTCTCATCCTGCAGGAGACCGACACCTGGCACACACGCTGCTCATCTTTGGGCAGAGGGAGACAGCACGAGGGAAGCAAACTCCGGCTTGTCTTGGGTGGAGAAGGGCTTGGATTCCCACCAGGCATTCAGGACCTGCTATGCAGCACTGATGCAGTGAGGACTGTCCCCATGCTGCAAATCGTACCCACTCAGGACAAACCCTGTCACTTTCTTCAACAAGATTCTTGCTTCTAAGCCTGAAAGAGATGCACCTTCCCAATAAACTGAGCAGACCAGTTCACCCCTGGGGGTGATGGCTGGGGTCTTGGGACCTCATCCAAGGAGTCCATCGCCTAGTCATCCCTAGCCCCACTGAACACAAGGGTAGGGCCTATGGAGGCCATGAACAGAAGCAGGCAGGGCTACCTGGAAGAGGGGATGGCTGACGTAATCATCTGTGTCTCCTGTGTCCCCTGCCTCCTCCCATCTCATCCCGCCATCAAGGGCAGCCTCAGATAGGAGAGGGGTGTTTGGACAGAGGAGCCCATGAGCATGGGGTGGCACCTCCACCCTCAGATCTCCTGAGTCCTGCATGTGGCAGTCACCTGCAGCTGGTGGGTCACCAGGACGACAGTCTTCCCCCTGAGAGCCTTCTTAATGCACTCCTCAAAGATGTGCTTCCCCACATGGGCGTCCACGGCTGACAGGGGGTCGTCCAGCAGGTAGAGCTGACGGTTGGAGTAGACAGCACGGGCCAGGCTGATCCTCTGCCTCTGCCCACCAGACAGGTTGAGACCACGCTCCCCGATCTGCAGACAGGGACAAAGACACTGCCCATCGTAGGTCCTCACCCGCCGCCCTCTAGTTCTCAGGAAGAGGGGCTTCCTGAAGCTTCTAGGGACTTGGCGGGCAGAGAGACTGACCATCACCTTGTGTAGTACACTAAACAGGAAGCCCAGAGGTGATGGTGTAGGGAGCCGCTTCATCTGATGCCAAAGAGGGGTGTCTGGCTCACAGTACCTCCATGCCAATGTGTAACCCATGGGCAGAGGCTGCGTCTTGTCCAGTAACACCAAGGGAATTGTTTGAGCTGGAAGCTCTCAGGGAATGAATGGATCAAGAACAGGAAAGAGAATGGATCAAGAACAGGAAGGATGCCAGGAATATAGCTCAGTGGAATCGTGCCTGCCTGGCAAGCACAAGGTCCCAAGTTCAATTCCTGGTTCCAAAAAACAAACAAACAGAAAAAAAAAAAAAAACAGGAAGGAGCTATCTACTTGCTTTCTTGGGGAGCGACTACTCCCACAGCAGGCAACTTTACACTTCCGGAAGAGAGGATCTATGCTCCTGTTCCTCCAGCCTTCCAGCTCAAGAGGCTCAGGATGAAGAGGTAAGGAGAGGATGGATGGATGCCTAGATGGCTACCTCCAGGGGCTCTGAAGTGAACTCACATCTCATCCAGCTATTGGAAGACTGAACCAGGCGCTGGAGAAGGAACCCAAGGAGCTGGACAATAGAAGCACCCTATTTGTCAGGAGCTCATGTTTCGGAGTGGGAGTCACACACACAACAATGGCACCAAGCAGAATTCAGTGGGTACCGGGAGAAGCATCACTGGAGTCTTTGGGGCAGACTATTTCAGATTACAGGACTTCAGAAAGTCTTCCTCAAGGAGGGAGATTCGGGGTCAGAACTCAAAGTGGGGTGATGATGGCAGGAGCAGAGGCAAAGAGGCTCAGAGGTGAATGCATATTTTCGGGCAGGCAGGGCAAGCAGAAGTGAAAGCCTGCAGGCAGGCAAGGGCTGCATGTGTCAGGCCAGGGGACTGTGGGGATCCAGTGCTGTGCAAGTAGACTGAGCTCACCAGCTGAGAAAGACAATGGGCTCTGAGGTGTCTTCTCCTCAAACAGCGTTAGCTTCCTGAGCTCCGCGGGGACCCTGGCGAAGGAGGGGACAACTGTGCAAAGACTCTGGGCTGGGGAGAGGGCATGAGGTTGCAGTGACTTCCCTGAGTCCTGTGAGTAGGCAGGCTCAGCCTAGGACCAAGCCAGCTTTTTGGACAAGCACCCCAGAGGTAGCGTTTTGTGGGAGGGACTCTGGCATCCTGGGATGAATGCAGCCAGTAAGGCTAGAGGGGCCTGGGGTTGCCGCAGCAGGCAGCACCCCACCCCTGCTCTGACCCTGAGTGAAAACCCTTCCCGGACCTGCCCACAGACAGGAAGGGCAGAAGGAGAGACCCCAGGGAGCCAGCACACTGGCTGGGTGCCAGGCCCGCAGCTACGTCCACAAGGACAGACCCAGAGGCACAGAACCTGAAGTCTGTCTGCCTTTGCCGGGCTCCTCCTGTCCCTGGCCCCTGAAAGAGAATCTTGACCTGCTCACCTCCGTCAGGTCTCCATAAGGGAGGCTGCTCAGGTCCTTCTGGAGGCCACAGACACGAACTGTGCGCTGGTACCTGCAGGTGCAAAGGTCAGAGGTCAGCACAGCGAGAAAGACCCCACAGCCCTGTGCTTCTCAAGTTACTGCATTGCTGGAGCTGGTTGAGGAGTCAACAAGGGCCACATTCCGGGCTCCCACGCCAGTGGCTGCCTTGGAGATCTCCGGGTCAGCATCCCCTTGGCCCCCAGGCCACTGCCCTGATGACCCAAGTTGACTCAGGATGGTCCCTCCCCCATAGGGCTCTGCCATGCAGGGACAATGACTTCAGCCTATATGGAACCCCTGAAGGAAAAACGGGGCAGCAGCTGCTGACGCTGCTCCTGGAGCCAGAGAGAGTGTGGTTAGCCATGGGGGCAGAAGTCATCGGGGTGGAGCTGAAAAGCCCGGGGCTGGGCTCTGACATCTGCCCCCAGAAGCCACTGTGTCACCTGTCACTCCCACCAGGCTGGAGAGGACAGGGGTCTGCTCCTGGGGCAACCAAGGCACAGAGCGCTAAAAGGAGTGAGGCCAAGTAGATCAAGGCTGCCGCTCTTGGGCTTCTTGCTTCTGTTCTCTCCCTGGGCTCCCTCAGCCTCGGTTCTGCCTCTGGTGTGGGGACTCGGGAAGCCCTGAGCAGCTCTGCAGCACCTACACAATAAGCACCAACACCACCCGCAGAGGGGACAAAGCCGAGGGGCTGGGTTGTCCCCGTCCGTACATCTACCAGACCCCACAACTGGACCCTAGGTCTCTACGTTCTTTTCCTGCCTCTGCAGAGACTGACTGGTGATTCACTGATATGATTAGAATCATCATCAGAAGCTCCTGCAAGGTATGCCTTCCCAATAAATGGCAGTAGCTGAAGAGAGCAGGCAGCCGCTGAGCTGAACCTTGGGTGGCTTCCAGCTTAGAGCCTGGACACCACTCCGAGCATGAGACTTATGCAGCACCTTTGGGGCTGGAGTCCATGGTGGCTGCATCCATCAGGAGGATGTAGGTTTGTACCCACCGGGAAACCCTGGAGCAGTGACTATACCTCCCTGACCCTCATTCTACTCCATAAAACTGGGCTAATGATGCACTGGGTTGCTGTGAGAAGGAAGCAAGGAAGCAACACACAGCCATGAGCACAAGGTCTGGTGCACTGCTCATTCTCCACCAACGGAGCTAATACTATTACCTTTGCCAACCTTCAGCTACATGGCTCAGAATGCTCAGCACATCTTCACCCCCTTGCCACTCCCAGCCTGAATTTCCTGTCACCTCTGTATTTCCTGGGGCCCCGAGAGCCACAATTTCTACCCTTGGAGCTGGACCTCTGCTAAAGAGCCACAGATGAAAGGTACTCAGTTCTCCTGCAAGACCCAGTCCAAGTGCTGCCCTCTCTTCCCTGAACCCCTGGCCCTGACATTTCCTGCCACTCAGCCATCAGCCTTGGGTGCACCCCGTCATCTGTGCAGTCTTCCAGCCCCTTCCAGCCACGAGCACCTGGAGGGCAGATTCACCTCCATGTGCTGTGCCGCGTGTATGGCAGGCACTGTTACAAATCCACACTTTGAATTTCCTTAATATGGGAACCCTCTTTCCAGCCTGCTTCTGCAGAAGGAGGAAGTGTTCCAGGTAGGGCGAGGAAAGTGCACTGGTAGAGGAGGTCAGGGCCAGGAGACCCTGAGCAGAGAGCACATTGGCTGATGCGAGGACTCCCAGGTTGATGGGACCTTCTTGCCCCCACCTCCTGGTAGTGGGTGTCTTGCCCCAGGCCTCTTGCTGGGAATGCGCATGCTGGCCAATCTGAGCCAGCAAGGAGAGGTTTGGGGGTCAGACAGCAAGATGAGGAAGTCCAGACCCAGGCAGGTTCCTAAGGCCGGCTCACTTCTTCTCACATCAACACTGGGGTGCTGGGGGCTTCTGAGTGGCCCAGCGGTTGGGTAGCTGCAGTGAGAGTAAATGATGCTGGAGTTCAAGCGCTAAGGCCAAGACTCAAGCTGCCATTTAGTAGCTTTGACCTTGGGCCAATAAGTGACCTCTCTGGCCCTCAGATTTTTTCATCTGTGCAATGGGGATGTAATGCCAAGATCCCCCTGAATAGCGTGGGGACTCACATGACAGAACATACAAGCTCAGCAAAGAACCTAAGAAGCTTTTAATTTCCAGAGCTCAAGGATAATGGCCCAACATGTATCAAATAATTACAACTGGAACTTTGTTTGATTTCATTAAATCATTTTGAGGACACTAACATATCCTGATAGCGCTGATATCAGTGAATAATGCCAAGGCTGATTAATTGCATGCCTGCTGCTTATAATGTTAAGTAAAGTTTTGGTTACTCAGCCTAAAGCAAAATTGCCAGATTCATTTTTCTCCAGTCAGACAACATATGCCTTGCTACAGAAAACCTCAAAACATATGGTAATTTGCCCTGGGAACCAAGTGTCAATTGCACCCTCCGCTCGGGGTCGCAGAAGGCACCTCTCCTGAACTCTTGGGCCTGCTAGAGAAAGGCAGTGCTCGTGTGGATCCAATGAATGTTTCATCAGAGCTCATTAAAGAAACCCACTTAGTAATCATTACCAATGGCCTCCACATCTGCAGCCGAGCATACCAGATACTAAAGTACTTCACACTTTAGAAGTTAATGTTACCTTTGGTGATTGTACTTTTCTCCAAATAGGATGTTTTCTCTCACATTTCCATGAAAGATCCAGGCTTGCTGTGAAACATAGGCCAGACTCCCATTGACTGCCACGATTCCTTTTTGTAACTGCATCTGGAGCAACAATGCCAGAAAGTGCTCAGAAGCCAAACCCCAAGGCTTTTCCCTTGGGAACCATCGCACCCTGCTTGGTCGTGAGCATTGATTGGGAAGATGCAGGTTGACAAGATGTCTGTCTGTACACCACAAAGCCAAGTTGTGCAGGAGGAGAATTTCAAAGTCACATCTGCCTGGGGTCAGGCAGGGAACCTTAGGGAGGAGCTGCAGCAGACTGGAGAGCTCCAATTGCAGGACTGCTGAGGCGCACAGGGCACCTCTGTGCCCACTCCCAGGAGATGCCCTGTGGGCAGACTGATTGCAAGAGATTCCACTTCCTCTAGGTGCACTGGCTGGGTCCCAATCTCTTTGGCTTATATCTAGATGTCCCCTCAAGGCCTCATGCGCTCATAGGTGGGGTTTTAGGAGTGACTGGATTATGAGTGTGTGATACTGGATCATGGGTATGTGATAACTGGTTTAGTACATAGATTGGTTTGGCATAGTTCCGGGTGTAGAATGGATTTACTTGAAGGCAGAAGATCCACCCTGAGTGTGAGTAGCATCAAACAATAGGCTTGTATCCTGGATGGAATAAAAAAGAAATGAAAGAAGGAGGGCTGCTACCTTCTGCCTGCCCTGCCATGGACTGTTTCTCCTCTGCAGAGCCCCTCTGCCATGCCACTCTGCCTTCGAACCAGATAGTGATGGACTGAAACCTCTACAAATTGTGAGCTGAAATATATCTTTCCTGCTATGACTTGTGAGTGTTGGGTGTTTTGTCCCAGGAATGAGGAAGTAACTAAGGTGGCCACATCCCTAGGGGCAAGGCATGGCCTACATGCTGTCGATAGAGGTCCTGCTGTGCCCTGCATTAAGGAAGCAGCTGTGACTCAGTTGTGCAGTTGGCACCATCAAGGATGCAGGTCTGGTGTGGCCAGAGCTTCTGATTTTTCAGAATGGAAAGTCCAGTTTCATGTGCAACTCTGGGACTTAGAATCATTGAGCAATCCAATTCAAAAATACACCTGGGCTCCAGTTTGTGACCCTGAGTACATAAGGTGGTGTAAGATGATCCAGCATGGTGTGACAGATAATGAGGACATTGATGGTGATGCAACACTTAAAGCTATCAGAAGAGGGACACCTGGGCAGGCCTCAGTGGCTCAGGGCTGATGCTCATAGGAGAGCTGCAGCAAGGACAGCAACAACTATTACATAAATTATCTCGTATAATCCTCACCACCACTCTCCTTAACCCTGTTTCACAGAGAAGGAAAATAAGGCTCAGACAGGTTAATTTATTTACCCAAGATTAAACAGTGGCCAGTGGCTCAGGCAGGGGATGAACCCAGGTAGTCTGGGGCTCACCAGTGTAACTACCAGCCACCCAGCAAGCACAGGGAGGAGCCAGACCCCACCACTGTCTCAGCAGATAGATTCTATCTCCTCCGAGATGTCCCAGATGAGAACCCAAGAGGACAGAAGTTACCAGGCAGCAAATTTCACTGTGATACACATGAAAAAACCCCAAAGGTGGGACTGACTGGGAAACAGTTTCTGGTTACTGGTGATACTTGAGCACAAGTTGGAGAATCTCTTATGCTGTCACAAGGAATTCTGCCCTTGGTGGAGAACTGGGCTGGGTCATGTCCAACATGCCTGCAGTGCCTCTGCTATCACAGGGGCACACACACTGCTTCCCAGAGCATGAGGGCCTCAGGAGCCCACCCCACTCAGCCTCTCCCGCTCCACCAGGAAGGGGTGTTAGCTCTGTCTACAGAGGAGTCACAGGAGCCAAAGGAAGTCACTCACACTGGAGTTCAGAAAACACTTCCCACCCTTGTGGGGCTCTACTGAACCTGGGGGTCTTCATTTCTTCAGAGGCACCCAACCTCTTCCTGCTGCAGGCAGGCCCAGCAAGCTTCTCCTTAGCAACAGCAGAGTAGGGAGAAGGAGGATTTAATACCTTCTTCCAGGAAATTTCTCATTCATTTAGGCTGCAACTCAGAAACCATAGCAACATTGAGGCCTGGGAATATGGTAAGAGGGCCTGGCCATTTCCCCTGGGACCATGCAGCCAGCAATATCAGAGAAAAGACAGAACCCAGCTCCTGCCTCGTCTTGCAGGAGGTCTGCAGAAGAGTTCATTCAGCCACTCCTCTGTGGTGGGCTCAGCTGAGCACTGGCTCTGGGGAGACACTGGGTATATGGAAACAAATGAAGAAAAAGCACATCTAATGTCACCTCCAGTCCCAGACTGCTTTGGGCTCCACCAAGCTGCCTTGCTGGATTTCCAAACTGGGATAACCAAAGTCATGACCAAAGCCATGGATGTGATGACCCATCTCCTCCTGACCCATCTGTAGCTGTAGGTAGGAATATGGTCACCATTCAATACGCATCTCAGAAGGCAAACCCAAGAGCAAGTGAAAAGCTTACCCCTGTCTAGCCAACAGGCCTGGAGGTGCCAAGTGTGTCAACAGCCCAGAAATCATCACTAATTATATGTATGAGACTTAGGGCAGCCAAGCTTATCCACTGCATCTGCTGTTCCACTGGCCCCCAAAGCCCCTAAACTCTGGAGATTATTTTACTGTCACATTAGGGCTCCACCTTCACAACTCCCACCACACAGCTTACCTGTCCCAGGAGAGCTGCGATGAGGGAGCTCTTTCCACTCCCAACATTCCCACATATCCCCAAGACCTTGCCCTGCCAGAGAAATAAAGATAAGACACGATCACTGTTATAGTTTGTGTCTGGATGTCCCCCAAAGCCTCATGCAGTCATTGGGCAGGCTTTTGGAGTCTGTGATTGATTCCTGGTCCAATGCTAGGATTATGGGTGTCAATGCTACAGTTGCCCTTGGGCAGGCAGCCTGCATTCAATATCAGGGAAGGAAAGAGGCTTGCTCTCTCTGCTCCTCCCACTTTTGCTTTTGTTGCTTTTGCTGTTTTCTGCCACCATGAACTGTTGCCCTCTGCCATGTGCCACTCTGCCTTTGAGTCAGCCGAATATGGACTGAAACCTCCACAGACTGCGAGCTAAATAAACCTTTCCTTCCTTCATTTTGGGTATTGGGTATTTTGTCTCAGCAACGAGAGAAAAGTAACCAAGACAGTCACTCCCCTAAATTCTCAGAGGATCTTGGGCCCAGGGGTCTTCCCAGACCGTATCAGCTATGCCAGGTGGGAACAAAGCATTTCTGCTGGCTCTGTGGGGTGGCAGCTGCAGCCTCACCCCCAGCCCCAGCAACACAGCCCTGGAGGCTACAGGAATGTAAGTTTTAATTAACTGTTCTCCTCACACAGTAGAGCAGAGCCCAGAGGGCTTCCAGAAATCATGTACAGGCGCTGATATCAAACAGCCTCATGCCAGTCTGGAGGACACAGCCCTGGACAGGAGGGCTGTCCTGTGCCAGACTCCAAGAAAGCAAATCTAATGGGAGGTAAATAGCTATGTAGCCCAAAGGACAAAGGTAGCCTTCTAAGTAAGGAGAGCTAGGTACTTTTCAAAAGTTACTTTTTATGAATTCCTCCAGCATACTAACTCAATTTAAAAGATGGAGCAGTAATACTATTTCACCACATTGGGCTAATCTATAGCTATGAATTTATTAATGCAACCATCAAATCATTATTTAGCACCTGCTCTGTGCCAGATACTGTTCCGAGAACCCGCAGTAACACACACAGCAGGGAGCACAACAGAAAAATTCTGTATCTGCCCCTACAGAGCTTCTGTTTTAGTTAGCAAAGGTGGACAGGAAGCAGGGCACGAGGGAGAGGTAGGCAGTGTGGTGGAGGTGGGGGTGGAAGGAAAGTCTTCCTGGAAAGGCGGATGTGTCAGCTTGAGTTCTCCCAGAAATAGAGCCTGAATCAAGGGTTTAGTGAAAGCTTTTGCGGGGAGGTTCCAGAGACACCCGGAGGGAAGAAGGGTAGTGAAACCAGAAAGGGATGACAGGGCTCATGCAAGGTAGACTCTTAAATCAGCTCCCACAGGAAGCAAATGAGGCTCCGTGCTGCAGGGCAACTCGAGGAACTCTGGGACCCCGAGCACAGTCATTGCCTGAAGGCTGCTCCTGGGCTGTGAAAGTCCTGGTGCTCCATGGGTCAGATGAGGACCCCTCAGGCACAGGTGCAGACCTAGCTGTTGGAAGACAGCTGGAGCACACCTAAAGGTCCTGAGGACATGGGCTATAGACAGGTGGAGTAGCCACTGCAGGCAGCCAGACCACCCAGGTTGGGCTCTGCAGTGAAGAGGCACTGCTGTGTTCAAACAGAGACCGCAATACTGCCGAACACTCCAGAGCACTTGCATTTGATCTGCTCCCTGCAATACCTTAGGGCAGAGACGCCCACCATGGGACCAGATACAGCTCCTTTCCTACCCAAGATCAATGTGTCCATCACTTGGCTGCAGCAGCCAGCACATAAGTTTGCCGCCTATCACCAGTAATTCCTTTGACCAGTCTTTACTGAATGTCAGCCACCATGGTAGCCACTGGGGATAAATACAGTGATGGAGACAGACATGGTCTGCATCCTCAAAGAGCCAGAGTGTAATAGAAGCTGCAGGTAAAGGAAGCTGACCCTTTCTAATCCCACTGAAAGGAGTTCAGGGAATTTCAGGGAGACTTTGAGACACATAGGTTTGGATCCAGTCTCCCTCGGTACTTGACTCCTCTCCCTTGCATTCTGTCCATGTCTGAGCCCCAGGTAAGAGCATTCTAGATCCATCTTTGTCCCCAGCAGAAAATCAGCACCCTCTGGGTCCCTCATTAGTCATTTTTTCATTCAGCAAACTTTACTGGGCACCTCTGAGCCAGGTACTGGGCTGGGTACTAAAGACATAACTCTGAACAATACACCCTGCCCTTGTCCTGGAGGACAAAGTCTAATGCAATCATGGAGCTAAATTTGGACAAACTTGGATGGCCTGAATTTAGGACATTTTAAGGGCAGCACTTGAGCTGGACATGATTGTTCAAGGAAAAAGGCAGCAACAGCTGCTCTCTGCAGCTGAGACTTACGCTGGGCTCAACAATTTTTTTATATGGGCCTCTCTTTCAGTTCTCACAGCCATCTTGTCAAGTGGGTATTATTATAAAATCCGGGCAGCAAGTAAAGAGACAGAGGCCTCAAGAGCTTAGGCAATGTACTCAAGGTCAAATAGCTGGTAAGTGGACAGGATTGGAACCAAGGCTCAGCATGCCTCAGAGGTGCACCCTTAATCCACACAGCTGTATCACCCCAACTACATCTTCCACTTATTCACAAAATGTTAAGCATACCCTTGACACACAAATCCATACATTACCAATGTACTAAAAAGAGCATTCGGAGTAAAGCAATCGGAGGGTTAAATGGCAGTTTCTTTAGAAGATGACAACAGCTTTCTGGGGCTTTTATGAAGCACCTGGGAGGGCAAAGTTGGAGCGTGCAGTTGCTACACTCCAGAGGCACAAGGAAGAGTGATAGAAGGCGAACTAGCTGCAATTTGATAGGACTTCACAAAACTCCAAGCTCCATTCCAGTCAGCCCACCGAATATCAGATATTGTTGCCAATGAATACCTGCTGGATGACCTTGTTAGCTGTGAGAAGCACCATTCTCAAGCTGGCTATTGAGCTTAGCATTGCATAGTGAATGAGAACCTCTCCTTCCATAGTGTCTGCACAGGGAAAGAGTGAGTCTACCAGATGAGAGACTACACTACTAGGTACGAGGTCAATGTGGAACCCGCTGCAGCAAAATCAACACTGGTACCCCGGGAGCGCTGCTGCCGGATCCCAAGCGCAAGAAGATGTCTGCAGGAGATACAAGCTCCCCTAAACTCACATCTACAGACTCAGTCCTTCAACCCAGAGAGAAAGGAAGACCCACAGTCTGCCTGGCTGGGTTGGCTTTGCTCTGCCCTACTCTGCTGGAGTGATTGTTGGTCTCATTTTGCTTTTTAACAAGAGAGAAATTCACGGTGGTGAGGAGCACAGATTGAAGCTGGGCACGCTGGGGTGGAGCCTTCCTCTGTCACTTACTAGATACACGACCTTCATCCTTCCTGAGTTAGTTCACTTCCTCTTCCTCGAGCCTCAGGCTCCTCAATCACAAGGTGGGAGTGGTTAGCACCTACCTCACAGGGTTACTGGAATGGCTAAGTGAGCTAATTACATACCCGGTAAAAGGTAGGTGCTCCTAATTGTCAGTTATCATTATCTATCTTAATACCCCAGTGCCACATTCAGAACAAATCTAAAAAGATTTATGAAAGCTAGTCAGCTTGAAGCTAATCACCTGAAATGGATCATCCATTCAAAATTGCAATTGGTCCCACAAAAGGCATTGGAAGTCAGTACTAACATGAAACCACCTTCTCTAAGCTGGAGAAAGATATCTCTGGTGTTTGTGTACACAGTTTTACAACTGGAGAGGAGGGGGCCTCCCACGACCACCTGCAGATCCACCTGACTTTTAAGAGGCTGGAGTAGGAAGTTGGAGGCTGTGCCTCCAGAGCAGGGCCCTCTGTTAAAGACTTGGCCCTCAGGACAGTGCCACTGAATGTGTTGATGTCTCTGAGGAGGAGCCTGTGGGCGTCCTCAGGACCAAGGGCTTTATGGGACCCTTCTTCTTTCTCTTGTTTCTTGTCTCCTGGTATCAGGGATTTGCTCTGTTACATGCTCCCTGCCATGGTGTATTACCCTTCCCAGGGCCCCGAAGCCCTGGGACTCCAGCCTTGGACTGGAGCTTCCAGAACCATGTGCCAAAATAAACTTCTGTACAAGTGAGTTGATCCAATATCTTGTAAAAACAACACAAACCAAATGCTGCACCCACCTTTCTCACCACAAAGCTTATGTTGTGCAGAACCGATTTGGGGCTGTCGTTTTGCTCCTCAGGGCTGGCAATGCCCTGGGCAGATGGATTTTGCTCTTTGTATACCTCTGGCCTCTGTTTCTTGAAAAAGTGCCTTTTCTGGTTCTGCACTTTCTTTGGGTCACTTTTCACACCGGCTTCTTGCTCCCATGTCAAGGTGGCGTTTGCTAAAAGCAAGATAGTGCCTGGGTCTTCTGGTTGGGTGATGTAAGATGGGGGGCTTTTGGCTATGAGAATTTTCTAAGATTAAAGAGATACAATTAAATGAGCAGGCGTCAACCATTTGTGAGAATCCACCCAATACATTTTCTAATGATCCAGAAGCACAGTCTTGGCAATTCTACCCAGGACATCCAAGAAAGAAATTCTGAGGTTATTCCCCCAGGAGAAGCTGCAGCAAAAGAGTACACTAGCTCATACTATCTGGGACAGTTTCCTCCTTAACCATGAGGTTTATGTGGGTCACCCACATTGGAGAATGCTGATCCCAGCCATGTTCCACCCTCATGCCCAAGATAGTCAGCCTTTGCCAGTCTTTGGGTGACAGACATCACTGCTGGGCACTAATGCATGGGAAACCAAGGTCATGTTCTCAGTCTCTGCTGTGTCATTTTCCTAGGTCCCCACTCAGCTCATTCAACAAAACACTTACCCGGAGCCTACCACAAACCAGGCTATGGGTAAATGCAAATATAAATAAGGCACAGGTCCTGTCCTCCAAGAGACTGGCCAGAGAGGAGATGGGAAGATGCACAGATCATTTTAGTGACAAAATAAAGCACTGTAATCACTGGAGAAGGGGCACTTGGCTCCCTGTCCTGGAGGCCCATGTAGTTCTTGCCCGAGCTGAGCCTGTACAGATGCTATTCAGGCAAAGATGAGGGGGATGAGAGAGGATGGGAGTGTTTGAGTGGAGGGCACAGCATGGGCAAAGACAAGGAAGCAAAAGCATGGTTGTTGGGGTGGGATCTGGCCATGAAACAAGCAATCAGGATCACTAAGTCACAGAGCTCAAGATAGGAAAAGAATGGGAAACAAAGTGGAGACAAAAGTGAGGGCCCACTGGTGGAGGGACAAGCATTCCAGGATTGGAAGCAGCAGTCACACCAATATTTTAACAGCTTCCTGGGGGCCGAGTGCCATACGGCTTTGAGGAGGAGAACACCGAGAAAGGAAGACAGACCAAAATCACCCATGCAGATGCAAATGATGGAGGCCCTGAGTGGGTGATGGTAACTGGAAGAGAGTGGAGATGGAGACCTAAAGAAATGACACCCTCCTCAAGTCTAAGAAGCACCTTTAAATTTTTTTCGGATATCACAAGATATACCATGAATGTGATGGTGTCAAATCTTGTGTTGTATTCCAAAGGTGGTAACAGTGCAACTTCCAATCTGGCCTTGCAATGGTTTCTCTTAAAACTGAGGGAATATGTTTATTAGGAGGTGACTCAGCAAGGTTCTGGATTTGTGGGATGTGGAAAGTGAGCGAGAGAGGAGGACAGGGAACAAGGATGGTTAAGATGACTTCCAGATTTCTGGCTTGGGTAAAGACCACCCAATCACTGGAAATATCTGAAACATCTATTCTTGACTAGAGGGCTTTTCACCTTTTCCTTTCTTCTAACTGCAAAATTATTTCACCTGCCCTCCCTGAATGTTCCTTATACCCTTACCATGCAGTACATACCTAGGGTACCTGTTTCTATATCAGAGTGGGGGTTTCTAGGGTTAAGATTCTCTTTCTTCTATGTGTATTTCCCACCTCCCTTGTACACAGGAGACATGCAGTAAATCTTTGACAGATGAACAATATATCAACTATATGTTCAACAAATGACCAACTATATCAGTGTGGTCCCCTTCCACCACCTCATCACTCCCATCACCACACCCCTCATAGAACAAACCAGGTAAAAGTGGAATGGCTCAGTGCAAAACCAACCCCACTTCTGGGACAATTTAAGGCTCTGGGCTGGATCAAGAGCGGAGGTCAGGAATATCATCTCCATGTGCAGAGACCTTATCTCATTTTTCCTACAAGGACAGACCACCTATAAGACTCAAACTGTTCCCTCCTTCATGTACATTTATTGTTCCAACTCTGGGACACCCTTTTCCCAAGAGCAGCCCAACAGGTGACCCAGCCCTCCAATGGATTGGTACAGCATCCCCAAATCCAAGTGTTTCCCCACCCAGAAATGAGATCTCTCTTCCCTACTCACCCAGAGTTACTTATACCTTCATTCTCCTTAGTGAGACATTGGCTTCCACCATTGCTTTGACCGAGAAAGGCAAGATTGCAATTGAAAACTTCATTACATTAAACATGGCGATCACGCTGAATGCCTGAAGAACAAAAAAAGAGAGTGAGGTTTAGAATGGGAAGCAACTTTGGCTCTAAACCACTCTACCCATGGGCGTTAAAGCTCTGAGATGAGAAGTGCTGGCACAGTTGGATTCACAGAGGAAGAGCTTTCCATTTCATGACCCAGGACCTCTGGGTTGGCAAATTAGGGACAAAAGCACCTTGATCTATTTTGTTTTGGATTTTCACTGAAATAGTGGGAAATATGTCCGCTTGTATCTGCTGATGCAGGAGGGAGACCATCTGGGGCAGGCCCTTAGCCAGCTACATTTAGAAATTCTCATCCATACCACATCCTTCTTCGAACCCGGGCATTTATTCAAAAGTCTATGCAAATGTTCCTAAGTCACACCCTGCTCACTGTTCTCCAGGGGCATCTGGACCTTTGGGGTCAGGGATGGAGGTGGTGCTCTCTGGGAGGACCTGCCTGAACCTGCCAGCTGCTTCAGAGTAGCCTCCAGCTCTCCTGATCCCCTAGCCAGGCCTCTAGGCCCTGCCTTCCCATGCACAAGGCCAAATTTGACAGCTTTCGTTCAATGGCAGTTCCCCATAGAAGTCATCACCTCTCTACTTTCCCCTGAGCACTGCCTAGTGGATAAACATCGGAGAGACCCAATGAAGACAGGTTTTCTTCCTGCTCTTAGTACCCCAGGGGTATGTCACCCATCTCTCAGATTCTGTCAGCTCATCGGTCTGACATGCAATTAGCAGCCCCACTGTAGTCAGACAGGAAGAAATTAATCCCACAACTTCCTTCAACAAACCCTGAGAGAACCTGGCTGCTGTTGAATGGGGTCCATGCACAGGGCCCTGGTCTCTGACAAATCTAATTACTTCATTAAGAGGGTGGTGAAGGATGCTCCCACCACCTCCAGTCCTAGGTACATCCCTAAAGGGAACCCCACCCTCTCAGGCCCCCAGCACCACCTTGGCTTGAGAAGCCTGGGCTTTGATTGCAGGAGCAGCTGGGCTGCCTCGTGTGACCAAGCACCTTGGGGCTGACTCCCACGGATGCAGCCCCAGCAGAGGGAGGACCTGTAAGAACTTCTGAATCCACAGGCATACAGGCTGTGCACTGAGAGAATTTGGTTTGGGTCTAGATTTTTTCTAAACATCATGTTAGAAAATGTCAACTACATGTACTTAATTTGGTTTCAAATTAATCTGCTGGATGTGTTGCTGCTGGAGGCAAAAAAGCATGTTTTTGTTTGAGGTCAGAGAAAGCAGTCATAATAATTGGGCAGTGTCCCATTCAGGCTTCTGTATATTATTGCCATTCATTCTGGGTTTGAGCTCACAGCCAGATTCAAAGCATTAGAGTAGTGGTAACAGTAAAGTGGACAAGAGGTACTATCTGCTGAGGAACCTGAAAAAATAAACAGGCATGAGCACGCAAATGCACACAGAGCATAAGAATGGAACTGACATGCCATAGAGCCAGGCGCAGGAAGAGCATCCTGACTCCTCATACATGACCCCTCCTCTCCCCTTGCACTCCCTGATTTAAGATACAATTTTTCTTCTGTGAGACTGGCAATGTCTTCTAACTTCCTTCTCTTTCATCCTTCCTTTGTTAACTGTCCTTCGACTACCTGTCCTTGCGACACTGAGTTTGAAATCTTAGCTTTTTTTTTTTCTTTGTGTAAGCCAGGGGCCATTTCCCCTCTAGCTCAGCATTTCTTTACCGTTGAATACTCAGGTTCCAAGTAAAGACGATACACACCTCACATTCCTCACAATTCCCCCTTTGAGGCTCACAACCGGCTGAGACCCATGCTAACAAGAACGGGGGATTCCAAACGCTCCACAGGAAGCAGAGCGTCCCGTGCTCACAACTCTGCTGGTAGGGGCTGCTCTCATCCTGCTTACAGGTAACAAAACCAAGGCTACAGTCACTCCCTGACTTACCCTGTGTCAAACTAGGAGGTCGGAGAGTCAGGATTTGAACAGGGCAGACCTGGCTGCTGAGGGGCTCTGGACCCCAACACCACTACTGTCCCAACACTTCCAACTCTTCCCAGCAAGAGAACATTTTCCCAGCTTTCCTTTCTCTAGTGCACAGCCTGTGAGGAAAGCAGTCAGGTGCTCTTTCGCTTTCCAGTTTTTTCCCCAGTGTGAAATTCTGTTTCAGTATTAACCACAACCCTCCTCTGCCATGGACAGGGGAAGGGCTATTGTCAGGTTCTCCTGGGCTGCTTGCCAGCCTCAGTACTTGTTGGAAAGTTGGGGTTGAAGTCTGGCCCCGTTTGGCTTCCTGGTACTGGGTGTTCTGATGCTGTAGTTGAAGCCCCTGTCTATCTAGGTCATTCTGGTAACGGGTACAAAGGAGCCCAGAGCTGGAGCTGGTCCTTACCACAGAGGCGCTGAGCTTGCGCCTCAGGAGGATGTGGCAGGTGAATGTCAACACGATGGCTATGGTAGACACAATGGGAGCCAGCGCCGAGCTCGCACTTTGAATATATCCAGCTTTTTCCAGCAACTTCCTCTCCTTCTTTCTTATATCTGTGAAATAGGAAACAGTCCAAGGTGGTCTTATTTTGCATGTCAATCACCAGCCCTAAGAAATGTATTGCTCTGCTCCTCCCAGTGAGGGTCAACAGTTCCTGTGGCAAAGTTTAAAAGGAGAGAACACCAGAAGCCTCAGGGGCAAACCCAGCATGGACAAGGAGTGCAGCACGTATCAGCTGTCAGGACAGGACGGCCCCCAAAGTCCCTTCCAGTCCTGGTGCTCAGCCTGCCAAGAGTCGTGGACTTAGAGCCCTACAGGGCCTGGGCCAGGATTGTAAATGACAGAAGGGAGCAGAGGATGACACCAGAGGGAGGTGTGGAAGGTGACGGAGTGCTCAGTCAGACCTCAGTGAAGGGCAGCTGCTTCTTGAGCCAGGGAGCCTCATCTACCAGATCGCAATTGTTCTGAGGTCTGAGATCCAGGCTTTTGTGAGCTCTTTGCTTTTAAATGCTGGAGACCAATTAAAGAATGTTTGTAATTAGGGCCCTGCCCAGTGTCCCAAGAACAACCACAATAGCTCAAGCTCATCTCTCTCTTTCCTAAGCCTGTAAGCTACCCAGGCAGGACTCTGCCCAACCCAACTTAAATTGAAGCCTCCCTCCCCTGGTTACCGGTCTCAATCCCGCCTCCAGAGGCATCTGCACAACACTTCCAGGACAACACTGTTTGCCCTGGGTGCCCCCTGGATGTGGGTCCTCCCCTGATACTGCACAGTGCAGCTACAGGCCCTGTCACAAGGGTGACCAGGGAGGAATGCCCCTTAACAAGGTAAGCATTTGCCATAAGAGACCGAAGCAGAATCACAACCTGTTTCTTCTGCTATCCATGTGATCTGCACCCCAGAACACCCAGGGACCTTTTCCCTACGCACCCCTACAAATCCACCTGTGGCCCTTGCTCCTACCTGGGGGGTTTCCCTAGCACTCTGGGCACCCGTCTATAAGGCCTACCTGAAGGCCGCCAGCTCCGCCAGGGAGTCTTTCCCCAAGAACTCCATGCAGCTCCTCTCATTTCTTCTTGTGGCACTTTCCACATCTAGCTTTTTGTCATAATTAAGCCACATGCTCAAGCACTCGACACCTTTTGACTTGATGTCTACTCTATGGCAAGTGTGGGTGCTTGGTGATAGTGGGTATAGGAGTAAACAAGCTCAGCCCTCTTCCAGTGGGGAAGACAGACAACAAAGACATAAATAACTAAATCACAGGATTCCACATTGTGCTGGGTGAGCTAATAGAAACAACCAGGGGGAGCGGCGAAGAGGCACTGGTGGGTGTGGACGTGTTTGAGACTAGCACAGAAGGCCGCTGTGAATCAACGACTTGGAGAGCAGTCTGCAATCCAGGCACGGGCTGGGGATATAGCTCAGAGACAGGGCACCTGCCTGGCAAGTGCAAGGTCATGGGTTTGATTCCCAGCAACACACACACACACATACACACATACACACAAAGAATTAAGCTATGCAATCCAGGCAAAACCACTGTGACATCTAGCAGAAAAGCATCCAGGCCGAGGAAAGAGCAAGTGTAAATACCCCGAGGCATAAAGGCCAGGACAGGAAGTTCTCCTGGCTTGAAGGCTGTTATCAAAGATCAGGGTGAATACTGATGAGATCAGAGAGGTTACCAGGGGTCAGGCCATGTTGGACCTAATAGGGTATATAAAGGAATTTGGAGTTTACTCAGAAGACCTACATTTCAGTAAGTAAGAAGAAACTGCTAAGGAATTTCCAACAGGACCTAAGTGACATTTTAAAAGGCCACCCTGGTGCACAGTGGATTTCATGGGAAAGGGAAGGGCAGAGGGACATCTAAATGGTCTTGCCACAGCCCCTAAGAGGAGACTGGCTTGGATCGGTGAGGTGATGGATGGAGAGAAGCAGATGGTTCCGCGTATATTCTGGAGCTTAGAGCCAACAAATGTGGGGCTATTTTGGAGCTTGGTTTTCTCATCCTCCCTTAATCTCAAAAGAATAAACCCCTTTCCTGATGATTTGCATGGTTTTGCACTTAGTAGGAAATAGATATATATTTATTGAGTTAAATGACTTGAATTAAATTGAGTTGGTTTGAATTAAGTCAAATGGAGTCAGATTTAATCAAATCAGGTTAAATGGTATTGAAGCAAGTTCAGAGAATGAGGAAGTATTTCTGCATCCTCAGAGCCTGCGAGGGTCCTAGAGCTTCGGGTGTTCCTGCTGGGGCACTTCCTTCAGCAAGCTCAGAAGCAGATTTTCTGAAGTCACTCCCTGAAGTGGGGCACAGCTTTAGCCCCAATTACACACTGGTGCAAAACTGTAATGGTAGATCCAGAGAGTCGGTTACAACAGTGACTCAGATCATTAATCAGCCAACCACCTGAGTCCGTGTCAGCAGTTATGCAAATGTCCTTGCAATTAAGATTTGCATTTATATTTGAAAGTGTTTTAATATCTTTTTAGAAAGAAAACTACATACACATCCTCATATCTGTTCAGAGTATGTGAAGTCAGTGAGCCATTCAAATAAGGAAGCTGCCACAGGCAAGGTGAAGATACGTGTATGTGTGTGAGTGCGTATCTTCTAAATCAAGAAAATAGCTTAAGACAGCTCCTTTACTGTCTGCAATGTGTTAGTGGATTATTTTTGTAAACAGTAACTAACTGGTCAGTACCAGGATCCTTGTGCCCCAGTAAAAGCAAAACCATATGTCACTCACCCTTGAGTTCATCAGAACAGATGTCAGAGTCTGTTATAAAATCTCCATAATCCTCAGAAAAATCCTTTGACCTGCACAGCGGCTCAAGGGTTCCCCTCAACTCTCTTCTGTTATGCTGGCCCTGGAAACCTTAAGAACCCTTCAGAAAGGCACATTCTACAATATAAGTAGTTCCCTAGGCAGCTTCTCATCCTACCTTGAATGGTGTTTGTGAAAGATTTCTCCCAGGCGTACATTTTAATCAGCTTGATGCAGGTCAGAAACTCATTCATTGTCTGAACACGCTTGTCTGTCACCGAAATTGCTGATCTTCGGAAAGCGGAATTGCGCTTTGCCATAAACATCTGGAATCAAGGTACAAACACGGGGTTCAGGGAGAGTTGCTGAGTTGCAGTTTGCCTAAAAGTCCAAGGATTGGAGTACAAGTGCCAGGAACAGTTCTAAGAGAAACTGCTGTCTTTTCCTTGAGTAGCAGCCATTGGCATGGCCTAGGGGAACCACTGGGGGGTGCTTATGGTGATGCAATGTTACGGCTGTATCTGGACGCCTCACAAAGCCTCATGTGCTGCAAGCTGGGGCTTTTCAGAGGTGGCTGGATCTAGAGTATGTGATGCTGGGATTAAGTGTGCGATGCTGGGATCAAGGGTGTGTGATTACTAAATTAGTCCACCAATTGGTTTGGCATAGTTCTGGAATGGAAATTGGGAAGGTGCAAGGTGGGTGTGAGTGCTATCCACCCTAAGGATGTGTAGCCTGGGTAAAATACAAGGAACAGAAAGAGGGCTGCCAAGGACACTTGCTGCTACCTACTTCATGGTTTGCTGCCTTCTGCCTGTCCTGCTTTGCTATGAACTGTTTCTCCTCTTTGATGCCCCTCTACCATGCCACCCTGCTGTAGAGCTAGCTGATTATGGACTGAAACCTCTACAAACTGCAAGCTAAATAAATCTTTCCTCTTTCAACTTTGGGTATTGGATATTTTGTCTCAGTGATGAGAAAAAGTAACTAAGATATACAGTAATTATGGGGATGCAAGTGGAGTGCTAGAGACTTTGGCAAACTGCAGAGGGGCACCCCATTAGTGAGTGTTTAAATTCAAGCTCTTATAAACCTACACATTTCCTTTGTCAACCTGTCAGCCCAAAACAAGGTGCAGGCTGGAGCTACAGGCCCAGAAATGAGGCCTCTGTCCAGTGAGTAAAACTGTATGGGCTCACAGCACTTGTAAAGCAGTTCCGAGAGCAGAGGCTTGCCTTACCTGGATGGGGATGAATATGACATACACAGATATTCCAATGAGAGCTGTGGACCCCAGAATGAAAAAGGCATACACAGCACAAACGACCATTAGGATAGGGATGGTGGCTGGCAAGGGACAAAACAAGGCAGCTTCAAACAAGGAATAGCTATCACTTGACAGTATGTTGAGCACCTGGAAAGAAAGCACATGGGTTCTGGTTGGGAAGGGTTTCTCCTCAACTGAAGGCTTTGCAAATGAACTGGGGAGTCACCCAAAGGACTAGCTTGATGAGTTTGCTCATAGTGATATGACTTTGGAAAGGTCAGTCTTTTAGGACTGAGAATCCAGAGGATGAAAGGCTTCTAGAGTAAGTTTACTAGCTGTCACATGCTGGACAGACCACTGCTGCCTACTGTAAATCGATTTGCCCCTCCTTTCTAACACAACTCTTTTTATTCAGGGCAGCAATGTGCCCAGCTAAAAGTCAACATCTTCCCTGCCACAGTGTGAAATGGGCCATTGGGGTGAATTCGTAAGGAAGCCAACACACCTTGGCAGGCACATCCTTCTGCCTTTCTCTCCCTCCTCCTGCCTGCTATCTGAAACATGGTTGGGATGGCTGGATCTCTAACATCCATCCCTAGCCACCTTGAGATCCATATTGTAGGACAGGGATGAAGAAACCATCTCAGCCCCAGGTTGCACTCTTACAGGCTCCTTTGACATTGAGTGAAATAAATTCATTCTGTGTTACCCACTGATGTTTGAGGTTTTCTATTTTGGGGGTCCTATGTGGAATCTAATTGTAATTGATATGGGATGCTCTGAACATCCTGAAAAAGCAACTGTAAGAGAGAAGCGAGTTTTTCTTAATGCACACCACCTGGGGTTCCCTTGATTAGGGAAATTTTCTTGAATAAGCATCAAGGATTTTATTGCTAAGGACTAAGGGCTTAAGAAAATGTCAACTCAGAGGTACAGCGGGCATGGTTTTTTATTATGACTTAAGCAGCCCAAATGCTACACAGTTGGGATTACTGGCTCCCCCAACCAATGCATCTTATTAAATACCCACAGTGTACTCTGCACTGCCTCAGTTTCCTCCTTGACAATCTAAAGGACAGATTGAAGCCACTACCGAGCCCCATTCCAGCTTTCCCAAATTGTCCCGCTCCGGTGGAGCTGACCTTTCTCTGAATTCATCCCCGATTTTTGGTCCCTACCGTCTCACTCAGCAGGAAGTGGGATATCCGGGGAAGGACATGAGGTAGGCGCCCCTGTCGGAAGCACACCTCACACATACTCCAGCACCTCAGCATCAATTTTCTAAAGTGAGACTTCTGGACCAGATTACCTCACCAACTGAAATGTGTGTCAGTGTCTTGAAGGCCACCAGGCTTTCAAAAACCAGGGTGGAGAGAGCCACTTTCAACCGGATCGCCGTGCGGTAGTTGATGGCCCAGGCCAGGGCCCAAAAGAGGACTTTGGTGAACTCGGTGGCAAAGAGGGCTATGCACAGGCTGATGCCAACCCAGAATTTCCCGGAAGTGTTCTCGGTGTGCTGGAGAATTTGATGAATGAGAACCGTCTGTAAAACAGTGCATTTGAGAGAGGTGAGGGCCACTGGGGGGTGGAGGGTGGCGGGGGAGGTCTCGGATAATGTCAGCAAGCTGACTTTATGAGGCAAACTTTTTAATTAATTTCAGCACTTGCTGCTGTGCTTGACAAAGATTCACTTTATGAAAATTCACCCCCAAGGAACACAAAGATAATGACAATGTACTAAACCCACCAGCTCATAGAGAGAGTAACTGATGACAACTTTGCCCAGCTGGGGACCTGGAAGACAAGAGAGAGGAGGGGCCACCCCGCTCACCGGCCCTAAGGCTGCCATGATTATGCACAGGATGTTGGCCACAATGTCCATCAAAACCCGCGTCCTCTGGAATTTCCAAACTACTTGGCCCAGGGAGGCCTTCTCAGGACCCACCCTTTCCACCTCTTCATCCCAAAGGATTCGAAACCTGTAATGAAAAGGGGAAGATGACACAGGATTGACATCTCTACTTGCTGTTTCAAGCTGTGCACATGTCAAAAACCCCTGCAGAGGCTCAGTGCATCCTCATCCGGGTCACTGGTGCCATCAGACTGGCAGCATTTGTTCTTTCTTTTTCTGGGCAGGTAGAACCCTGGAGGGGCAGGCAGCGATGCCCAGACCCAAGCTGGGATGAACATCTGGCCCTCAGCCCCTTTCCAGGCCTTTGTTTCCTAGCCTTCTGACCACACCACCAGCTCTGATAAGAACACAAGGCTAACTGAGAAGTCCAGAGGAAATTCTTCTTCAAGGCCAAGGAAACTGTCAGCGTCCAAGATTCACAAGAAGGCTGGTGTGACAGGGTGCTCTGTGAGGTGAGGGGCCCACAAGGTGCTCCAGGCTAGACCAGGCCAAGCCAATCTCAGGGCCTCAAACACCTCAGGAAGGAGTTTGGAGTGCAATCCAACTGCAGGGGAAGCCTGTGCAGGCTTTTAATTAAAGCACTGTGCATCTCTGACAGATCACTTGGCTGCTATGACTGTAATGGATTGGAGGAACAAAGGCAAAAGCAAGGGACGCCAATAGGGGGTGGTCAGCCTGCAGGTGAGAGGCAGAAGCAGCATAGCAGAGGGGGCAGTAGATTCAAGGAAAGCTGGACAGGGACAGACAAGAGTACTCGCCAGTGAATTAGATGTGGAAGACAGGAGACAGGATCAGGACAATCCCAACTTCTTGGCTTTTCAGGAATGGAAAAAGGGTCCAGGGAGAATCTTATCAAGTCAGAGCCAAAGACCAATACCTCAGCTTTAACCATTTGCTTAGCATGTGCGAGGCCTGGGATCGATCCCAAGCATTGTGTGTGTGTGTGTGTGTGTGTGTGTGTGTGTGTGTGTGTGGCATTAAGCATCTGTGAAGTGTCCAAATGCAGCTGTCCAGCCTGGTGCAGGACATGTGGACTCTACAGCTGGAAGAGGGGCCAGGGCTGGAGAGGCACACGGCATTGCAGAGCCAGCCTGTGTTTGGAGTGGATGAGATCCCCTAGGGGCAGAGCAGAGCCTGGGGGAGAAGCAGATCTAAGAGATGTCATGTCGAGGGAAGGAAGCAATAAAAATGGATGAAGAATTCTGGATGAAGAATTCTGGACAAAGAGGAAAAGGGAAATTCAATATTCCATGGGTGCTGGGGGCCCCTTTCCCTCACTGCTCCCTGATAGCTTTCTCTAGACTACAGATGTCGACTGAGACTTCCTCTGGACACAGGGGAAGAAAAGCACAATTCTACAAGCAACTGCAAGGCTATAGCTGGTTCTTTCAGCCCTGTAAGTAAATAGTTTGGGCAGTGCATTGTATTGTACCTTACCCCCTGTGACCAAAGATAGGTGACTTCCAGGAGAAACAAGCTTCCACCTGAGTATGACCTTATAGATCACCAGAACCACAGCATTCGATGCAGCCATTAGAAGGAACAAATTAATGTCCTTGCACAGACACAGATAGGTCTTTATAAACTTTCAGCCAACAAGAGCAAGGTGATCAGTGACTATATAGTGTGCTTCGCTTTTTCTCTTTAAACCTGAAAAGCATAATTTGTGAGTGGGGAGGAAGAAGGCGTGGAATTGCTCTGTAGAAGATGGTAGCACTGGGTCTGTTTAATCCATGCATAAAAATGATGGACAGCCCCATGTCAACATTTTAGCAATGTTTAGCCTCTAGGGAGGAGAGTAAGTGTATGGTAGAGATACTGCCACTGCTTAAATTCTGTTTCTTTAGCATTTTTATAATGAATGTGAATCTGGTTGGACCAATGGCATTTATTTTTACAAGTCAAAATGGCAAATGTGAGCAGATTCATTTGGTTCAACCTATGTACTCTTTGCACCACCAAGGTCTGAGAACAAAGTAGTGCAGCAAACCCAATGCAGAGAGCAGCATGCAGCAGCTCAGCTGGGTGTTGACCAGCAGAGTGCAGACTGCCTTTCCAGCCACCTCTGTCCTGAAAAACTATTCCCACAAACCCACCAAGTAGCCCAGAGCCTCTAACCAGCCCTCCCCACACCAGCTCTGCCCAGGTGTTTTCTCCCTGGGGACTGCACCATGACACACAGGCAGGCCAGCCCTTCTCAGAGAGCAGCCCTAAGAAGGGTCACCATCACCCATGGGTCCCCATTCCTACACAAGGGACAGAGAAGCACATGACAGGGCTCATAGGACCCTTCTCTAGGGTGAGCTCTCTCCCCAGGGGACCCAGGCGAATGCTGGTACCTTTTGGCGTTGGTGTCAGAGGAGTCATAGGGAGACATCGGGGGCAGGCTGTCCCCAGTCAGTGTGTTCCTGTAGCCCTTGACCATCACCGGTGTGAGCCAGGAGAAGGTGGCAAAGGAGAGCAGCCCTGCGTCATCCACTGGGTTGGGCGCCATCCTGCAGACACGTGAAATGTGCAGTGTGCCTGGGTCACCAGCGGTCATTGCTCTGACCTCCTGGCCTGCACTTGTAACCACATTCCTTAGCCCTTGAGCAGCCATGTGCTGGGACCAGCTTACACCAGCTCATGAGAGCCACTGTCATGTTTTTCAGGAGTTTTTTAAGTTAGGCCTTCAACTCAGCCAATGTTCAAAATTCAGCTACATAAATTGAAAGAAATGATCTTAAAGACAAAGTAATCATAGTCAGAACTTGTTACTTCATAATTTTTTTTTCTTCCCGGTACCAGGGATTGAACTCATGACCTTGCGCTTGCCGGGAAGGGGCTGTGCCACTGAGCTAAATCCCCAGCCCCTGACTTCATAATTATTTTACTATTATCTGTTCCCTTGAAGTTATTTACATCCATCTATCATCTGTCTGGCATAAATACCTTAACTGGTGAGCTCTCTTCCTGACTTGGCATTCAGTGAGATCATATTGTGGCTTGAAATTATGGTTGTGTATTTACATCACACAGTTGATAAATGCTACAAACCAGTGGGTTTTTTCCAATCATCCAATTATTGACTACCAATGTTTGGCTGTCTCATGGGAAGGAGGGCACCTGCTGCTCTGGTGGAAAATCAGAGGGGCCAAGTATATGTCTCTTTCTCTCCAGAGGTGGAGGAAGGGCCAGAGCAGGATGTGCTACAGCTAAGTTAGCATGCCAAGAGCACAAGAGCCAGTGGTGAATTCGTGGTGTGTTCTGAGGCTGCATGGGTTGGTAATATAGCAGCTATCTAGTAAAGGAGAAGATACAGAAGGCAAATGGGAGGAGGAAAAGAAGAAGGGAAGAAGAAAAGGAAGGGAGCAGGAGAAGGAGGAGGAGGAAGAAAAGAAGAAAGAAGAAGATGCTGAAGGGAAGAGATAGAAGAGGAGAAGGAAGGGGGGAAAAAGGAAGAGGAAAGAAGGAAAAGGAAATGAAGAAGAAAGCACCATGTTTTGTCTTTGAAGAATGAACCTGAGCCAGAATAAATGTCAGAGACAGAGTATCATCTACTAGTCCCTGAGCATTATTGAATACCACAAGCGAAAACTTCACATGTGTGGCAGACGCTGGAAGCGTGTCCTCTCTGCTGTGGAAGACAGTTGCACGCAAGCTCTTGTGGCAATGTCCCCTGCAAACATACGCTGTGTCATGTCTTACCAACTGTTCCACAGCTTTCTCAGGAGCCTGAGTGCAGCCCGCAATTTCAGGGGTTCAGGGAAACCCCCACCCAGCAGGGCACGAGAGCCATGGACAAAACCTGGACACTTCTTGGGAGGACCTGGCAGAGTCCAGTCCCCCTTCCCACAGCAGCCATGCTGTCTTCCTCTCCCCCTGCCTCATGCTCCTTAAATCCCCTCCCCATCCCACTTCCTGGGATCACCTTCCAAATGAGCTGTCTGCATCCAAGTTCTTGGCTGAGACTGAGACTTTGAGAGAACCCAAGCTAAGGTAGGATTAATGAGGTACCATGCGGCCAGAACATAACAAAAGTTCCTCACAGAAGACCCTCGTGATAAAGTCCTGCATTACCTGTGTGATGCTCACAGCAGCTCAGAGAGGTAGAGAGTACGTCTGATTATGACCCTGTCTCATAGCCAGAAACATTGAGTATTTGCCCAAGACCTCACAGCTTGGAAGTGGTGAAACACAAATTCAGACTTGCTGGCTCCACCATCACCCCACATTGCCTGTCCACAGAGCAGTTATAAACTGGGCTAAAGCAGTGGGTAGTTAGAGCTCCCTTGCAGCAAAGGATAGCCACAGGCCATAGCCTCGCCTTCCAACCTTCACGTCTCATTTTAGAGAGCCTCATGTGTGTATCTTTGGCCCATAGGTGCTGGGAGAAGACAGTGCAGTGTCAAGTCTCCATAGAGATCCACTAAGCCCACTGGTGCTCAGAGAACATGCCGTGGGTTCCTCCTAACATTGTGTTAAATTATATACTGCAATGTTGAACATGTGAGCTTGAACAGCAGGCTGCCTGAGTTCCTATCCTGGCGTTCAAAGACAACTGTGCTCACTCCCCCACCTGCAGCCCAGACCCTTGGAATGTGCTCTTACATCTCCTTCCATCAAGATGCACAGTCTATTCCCCACCCCTGATCTGGCTACTTCAACCCGCTTTGGCCAGCAGGACACCGGTAGTGGACGTGTTCCTGCTATGAACCTGTGTCTCTGGAAGCCCTGCATGCTTCTCCCCACTCTCCTGGAAGCCCATCTGTGGCCAAGTCAACCGGGACTGCTGGACACTGAGTGGCCATGTGGTCCAGGTGTCCCCATTGCCCCAGTCAACAGCCAGCCAACCCAAAGACACAGCCCCCTTGCTGAGCAGCAGATGAGCAAGTAACCCTGGTCAAGGTCAGGTGAACTCTCAATGGTCTCAGCCCATGTTACTCTATTTATGGGTCCCCATATAAATGTAAGCTAAATAAGTAGCAATTATTTTAAGCCACTAATGTTCAATGCCATTTGTTAAAGAGTAAAGACAACCTGATGAATTTTAAGCATGCTCCATAACCTCCTGGTGCCTCAGTTTCCTCTCCTATCAGATAAAAATAATGGTGCCCTCAGTGTGGTTATAAAGCACTTGGATGGACCCTGACCCATTAGCTATTGTCGCCCTCTCTGAAGGATAGGAAGAGGCAAAAAGTGGGTGGTGGATAAGTGAGTGGTATGGAACAGTGGATAAACAAATGGAGCAAACACAGAGCAACTGATGGGGAGCAGAGGAAGTGCCTACTTTCTTCCCTGGAAATTATTCCTGTAAATCCTAGCCTGGCCTCCTTCAGTCTGGCTTCTGACTTACCTTGCGTAGGGTCGCACTGGGATCATGGTTTTGAGGCTGGGGTCATATTTCTCTGAAAAGGACCTCCGCTGACCTCGCCGGTCCAGGTCCGAGATAAGGTAAGGGCCTTCACCCACCATCCTGATGGCACTCTGGAGCCCTGGGCTCTTAGCTGAGGACGGCTTTCACTCTGCAGCAGATGGAGATGCTCACTGAGACATGAAGACATCGCGAGTGGAATTGGGCAGCACCACCCCAATCTATGCCCTTGCTTTGACCACCTCCCACCAGGTCTCCCCAGTGAGCCATCTAGATTAGTAGGAAGTGTGGCCAACACATCACTAACTCCATTCTGAAACCTACTTTCTGGTAAGAACACGCTGTTCCTCTTCATCTCTTGCTCTGGGTTGGCTGGGAGCAGAACAACCCACTGTGCGTTTTCTATTGGTAGTCAGCCCATGGCCAAGGCTGAGTCCCAGTCTGGCAAGGGAGTCCCAAGAAAATCTGAGTGGTCTCTTAGTGTGATGCACAGTGCAATTTGTCACACACATGTCCTTTATTCCCTCAGATTCCCTCCAGGAATCTGTGCATCTGTATCTGCTCTACCCCTTTACTCTGTGGTCAGAGGCCTTTAACAAAGCCACCTCTCAGGACTGGACACACCCAGACAGGCCCAATTCTCCCCACTTCTGTGACCACTACCCTCATTGGAAACCAGCAACCCAAAGGGAGAGAACATTTTTAAGTGTATTCATCCAGTTCACAAACCAACCGCCTCATTCTCCAGTCTCCTAAACACATGGCTCTTCTTCTTTTCCCACACTGGGTTTGCTGGGAACCAAAAGACCTACTGAGGATGATCACAGAGAGTGATATCTTCTTAGTTCTTGTTCTGCTCTCTCCCTCAGATTTCCTGACATCTCTTTCCCTATAACCTATAAATAAATTTTCCTTTTTTACCTAACCTATGTTGAATTGTTTTCTGTCACTTGCAGTCAGAAGCCATATTGTTCCAGTATGTATTATTAGGCTGTATATAGACAGGGTTTACATTCTAGAGTTCCCTCCGGAAGTTCTCAATGTAAGAAGCACATAAACTGGACATCTGGGGAAATGGTGAAGTGGTAAGCAACAGCTCAGCCTCTCCAAGATGTGGAATCCAGACACTAAAAAATAAAAATTTGGGGAACTGGAAGGAAACAAAAGAGTGATATAGATGCCCAGGAGGGATCAGACAGGAAAATTAAAACTTACACAGAAATTAAAGAGACAGAACCCAACATGGACAAGAGGGCAATCTGCACTTTCTCCCCAGCTCCCAGCTTGTGACTTGTGAGGAAAGAAGACGGAATCCACAGAGACAAAGTGAAAGCAAGGACTCCACGGGGCTGCAGGGAGAAACACAGTTGTGGGACAGACCAAGGATACTGTATATTGCAGCAGCTCGTGAGTAACCCCAGTCCAAGCCCCCACCATCACCCCTGGAGAGATGGTCAGACATTGTCTGGGAGGGGTCAACTGAACCTAGGGGTCAGAGCAGCAGTGGGTTGGCTTCATTTCAGGGCTTCCAGTGTTACACTCCCACAGTGACTGGGTGAGGGACAGTCACGGGAGACAGCTGTGGTCTGGGAGCTGTGATCAGGCTGGAAGAGACCTCCTGAGGAGTATGAGCTAAAAGACACAGGCCCCACCCGTGGCCTGACACCAGGCTCAACCTGAACTGTTCTGCATTCGAAAGTTGCAGAATTGGCACCCTCACCTAATCTTACCTCCTGCCGGTGCCTGCACCCAATCAGCATGAGATATAGCTGTCACATTTAGTACATATTAGCTGTAAGTCAGTACCTTGGTTGTCTTAATATTTATATCATAATTGCAGTTTCTTCTCTAGGATTAAGGGTGCTACATGACTGGTTTTTATGGTAGGTTAATATAGTAAGTCCTTGACTTATGAACAAGTTCCATTCCAAGAGAATGTTCATAAGTTCAATTTGTTCATAAGTCTGGCAAAATAAGTCTTATACACCTTTGACACAAGTACACAATGTAAGCATAGAAAAACCTAATGTGAGGTCTATTCATATCTATGAAATTTTGCAACTTAATGGTCATAAATCGGGGACTTACTGTATCCAGAGTGTCTTGGATAATACTACTGTAACTGATTTGCCTGCTATTAACAGGGTCACATAGTTGCCACTACCTCTGTAAGTGGACACTCAGTTTGCCTTTGTGATGTTAACAATACAAGAGTACATTCCCAGAGAACTTAGCTAGCTATAATGCATCCCTCACCTTCCAAGTTAACCTACATGGTCAGATCTTGGGACTGTGGCAAAGGATTATAGTAAGCCAGGCTCAAAGTGCATCACGGAAAAGCACGTAAACAGGTCTCTACGCTAGCAACAAAGTTTAGATTATGCGCATCCACAAACCTCAACGCAAAACAAAACTAAACAAAAACGTGAAAAGATAAGGCAAACTAACTCCCCCAAAGCAAATTCAGAGGGCACCAAATGGCAGCACAATATAAGCCACCCACCTGAGCTAATTGAAAGGATAACAGAGGTTAGAAAACAGCTCTAAGAGACACAGATTGGCAGAATGGATCAAGAAATAAAATGCAACAATATGCAATGTACAAGAAACACATTGATTCAAAAAGAAACTCACAGATTAAAAAAAAATCAAGTGATGGAAAACAATATTCCATGCAACCAGGACTACAAAAAAGCAGGAGTTGCTGTCCTAATTTTAGAAAAGTGGATTTTGGGGGCTGGGGATAGAGGTCGCTGGCATAAGCGCCTGTCTGGCAAGCGCAAGGTTGTGAGTTCGATCCCCAGTACCACAAAAAAAAAAAAAAAAAAGAAGAAGAAAAGTGGATTTTAAGCTAAGATTGAACAAAAGAGAAAAAGGTCACTACACACTGGCTTAAGGGAATAATTCAACCAGAAGAAGTATCAATTATAAACCTATATGCACCAAATACCTGTAGACCCAATTTCATAAAACACTAACAGACATGAAAAATCAGATAAACACCAAGCAGTAGTAATGGTGGACCTCAATACCCACTATCACAAATGGACAGATCAACTAGATAAAAAAAAATCAACCACATTTAGTACATATTAATCTAGTACAAATATCAAAATTGCACAAAATTATCAAATGAACAGACTTAATAGATATCTGCCAACTGTTCCTTTCAACAAGAACAGAATACACATTCTCTTCAACAGCATGCACGACTATCCAGAAGAGATCACATGCTAGCCCATAAAGCATGTTTAAGTAAATGCAAAAGAATCCTATCCTATGCATGTTACTGTATCATAGTGCAACAAAACTAGAAATTAATGGCAAAAGACATCACAGAAATTATGCAATCACATAGAAATTAAATAATACCCTCTTGAATAGTGAATGGGTCACATATGAAATTAAAGAAGAAATTAGACAATTTTGATAATCAAATGGTAATGCCAGTAAAACATACCAAAACCTATGGGACACAATGAATGCAGTCCTAAGAGGGAAGCATATGGAAGTGAATTCTCACATCAGAAAAACAGAATGAGCACAAATAAATAACCTAATGCTACACCTCAAGGTCCTAGAAAAACAAGGACAATCAAAACCCAAAGCTAGTAAGAGAGAATAAATTATAAGGATGAGAGCAGGAGCTAATGAAATTGAGATGAAAAAAAAAAAAAAAGGAAAGGGAGACTTCTGGAAAGATTGTAGAGTGAGCAGCAGAGAAAGAGCCTCTCCAAGGTTTGGTATTCAGACACTGGAATACTGCAATGTGAGGAAGAGAAGAAAGAGGCTGGGTCCCTGGAACCCAAAGGATCTGAAGCAAGAATTGAAGCCCCTGGGGAGAGTAAAGAGAGAGACTTCAACAAAGAAGAAGGAGGTGGCAGGCAGCACTTTCTCCTTGAGCCTGGACTCACTGTGGGGGAGGGGTAGCTTGAACCCGCAGGCACACCATGACTACTTGTGACCCCAGAGGTCTCCATGGAGAAATGCATCAGTGCAACAGTGCAGTGGATGCAGAGAACTGTAGTAGCTGGTGAGTAATTTGGGTACAGATGTCCCATAGGAGAGGGCAATTGGCTGAGCAATCTTGGAGAGGAGCCAATTGAGCTCAGAACTCAGAGAGCTGTTGGATGGCTCTGTCTAGTGGCTTTCAGTGACAGGGTCAGGCTGCCAAGTTTGGGTTGGCAGGAGATCAAAGAGCCAAGTTCAAACTGGCATGGAGCCAAATTTGAGCCATAAAGAGGCACAAGGAGTGCTATGGGCAGAACAAAGCAGCTTCCAGCATCGCAGCCAGAAACTAACCTGAACTTCACTGGAACTGAAGGTGCAGACTTGCTGGAATTATCCACTACCCCACCATAAATCTATGGCTGGGTTGCTGAGATTAATCAACTTGGATCTGGACTCTGTCTACCCACACTGTCTACCAGTGACAGCAGAGACATGCCTTGAAGTGGGAATTTTTTTTCTCATTTTCTTTCTCATTTTTGTTTTTAGTTTTTGCTTCATTGTTCTTGTTTCCATATGAATGTTAACATGGTTTCTACTTCTGTTATTGTTCTGTTCTGTTCTGTTCTTCTTTTTATTTCATCCTTCTCTCTTGCCCTCCTGCCTTCTTCACCATTTTCCTAAAGTTTGTGTAATCTTCTTTTGTCCTCCAGCCTTCTTTCTAATCCCTTCTTCTCCTTTTCCCTCTCTTTCTCCTTCTTCTTCATTTCCTTCTTCTTCTCCTCCTCTCTTTCTTCTCCTTCTCCTCCCTCTCC